CACCATCTGTTGTAATTGAATGTATACTGTATGTTGATCCATTCTAAGGCTTATGTGGATAAGAGCAATGCCCAAATAGCTGACATTGTGGAGCTGGTGCGTGGGAAGCTGAATGGAGTGGCCAGAATGACCCTGCTACAGTTGAAGTCGGAAGTTTACATACACTTAGGTTGGAGTCATTAAAACTCGTTTTCCAACCACTCCACAAATGTCTTGTTAACAAACTATAGTTTTGGCAAGTCGGTTAGGACATCTACTTTGTGCATGACACAAGTAATTTTTACAACAATTGTTTACAGACAGATTATTTCACTTATAATTCACTGTATCACAATTCCAGTGGGTCAGAAGTTTACATACACTAAGTTGACTGTGCCTTTAAACAGCTTGGAAAATTCCAGAAAATGATGTCATGGCTTTAGAAGCTTCTGTTAGGCTAATTGACATCATTTGAGTCAATTGGAGGTGTACCTGTGGATGTATTTCAAGACCTACCTTCAAACTAAGTGCCTCTTTGCTTGACATCATGGGAAAATCAAAAGAAATCAGCCAAGACCTCAGAAAAAAAATTGTAGACCTGCACAAGTCTGGTTCATTCTTGGGAGCAATTTCCAAACGCCTGAAGGTACCACGTTCATCTGTACAAACAATAGTACGCAAGTATAAACGCCATGGTACCACGCAGCCGTCATACCGCTCAGGAAGGAGACGCGTTCTGTCTCCTAGAGATGAACGTACTTTAGTGCGAAAAGTGCAAATCAATCCCAGAACAGAAAAGGACCTTGTGAAGATGCTGGAGGAAACAGGTACAAAAGTATCTATATCCACAGTAAAACAAGTCCTATATCGACATAACCTGAAAGGCCGCTCAGCAAGGAAGAAGCCACTGCTCCAAAACTGCCATAAAAAAAGCCAGACCACGGTTTGCAACTGCACATGGGGACAAAGATCATACTTTTTGGAGAAATGTCCTCTGGTCTGATGAAACAAAAATAGAACTGTTTGCCCATAATGACCATCATTATGTTTGGAGGAAAAAGGGGGTTGCTTGCAAGCCGAAGAACACTGTGAAGCACGGGGGTGGCAGCATCATGCTGTGGGGGTGCTTTGCTGCAGGAGGGACTGCTGCACTTCACAAAATAGATGGCATCATGAGGAAGGAAAATTATGTGGATATATTGAAGCAACATCTCAAGACATCAGTCAGGAAGTTAAAGCTTAGTCGCAAATGGGTTTTCCAAATGGACAATGACCCCAAGCATACTTCCAAAGTTGTGGCAAAATGGCTTAAGGACAACAAAGTCAAGGTATTGGAGTGGCCATCACAAAGCCCTGACCTCAATCCTATAGAAAAAGCGTGTGCGAGCAAGGAGGCCTACAAACCTGACTCAGTTACACCAGCTCTGTCAGGAGGAATGGGCCAGAATTCACCCAAGTTATTGTGGGAAGCTTGTGGAAGGCTACCCGAAACGTTTGACCCAAGTTAAACAATTTAAAGGCAATGCTACCAAATACTAATTGAGTGTATGTAAACTTCTGACCCACTGGGAATGTGATTAAATAAATAAAATCTGAAATAAATAATTCTCTCTACTATTATTCTGACATTTCACATTCTTCAAATAAAGTGGTGATCCTAACTGACCTAAGACAGGGAATATTTACTAGGATTAAATGTCAGGAATTGTGAAAAACTGAGTTTAAATGTATTTGGCTAAGATGTACATTTCCGACTTCAACTGTACACAATCCATGTCTCAAGGCTTAAAAATCCTGCTTTAACATGTATCCTATATCTACACTGATTGAAGTGAATTTAACAAGTGACATCAATAAGGCTATTGCTTTCACCTGGATTCACCTGGTCAGTCTTTGTCATGGGAAAAGCAGTTGTTCCTAATGTTTTGTACACTCAGTGTAATAGCTTAATAATAGCCACACCACACCAAACCTTCAAAGTTTCTCAACTTTATTAGGGTAATATCAAAAGTAAGTCAAGCCATTGTTTATAAGGGAAATGCAAGCAGGATATTATATTGTGGCAAACACATTACAGATGGAACTTAATTTCACCAAAGAAAATGTCTCAACAGAATGAAACAAAACAATTGTTTAAACCTTCACAAAAGTTTTGAACAGGCTATTTTGCCTACCATACCAGTACCTAAAATACCCAACAAATGTAAGCAATAGGCTAGTGACATTTATTTTACAAAAGGCCTACTTATAACCTATCTTAAAATAAATACAGAGCACACAATTAAAAAGACAGATCAAACTTAATTTAGCCAACGGAAATGTCTCAACAGAATTAAACAAAACATGTTTAGCATATTTAAAGAACTGGTTTAGATTAATGAATAGGCCTACAATAACAACAATGATATACAATGATAATAATGATCAAACAAATTATTATAAATACGAAAAATAAATAAAGTTTCCAAAATTGCACCCTGCCTGAATAGGGAGTTGCACAGCAGCCTGCATTTGGCCCTTTGTGTGGTATTAAAAAATACTCTGCTAATGTCTTCTCTCATGTAAATCACATAGAATTGCATGAAATGTTTTTATAAAAGGCCTATTTTAGACAAATACTAGGCCTATATATACAGTGCCTTCAGAAAGTATTCATACCCCTTGACTTAATCCACATTTTGTTGTGTTACAGCCTGAATTCAAAATGGATTAAGTAGATGTTTTTTTCTCACCCATCTACACACAATACCCCATAATGACAAAGTGAAAACATGTTTTTAGACATTTGTGTACATTTATTGAAAGTGTAATACAAAAATATATCATTTAAATAATGATTCACACCCGAGTCAATACTTTGTAGAAGCACCTTTGGCAACGATTACAGCTGTGAGTCTCTGGCTAAATCCAAACATTTTGTGCAACATTTGCACATTATTCTTTTCATAATTATTCAAGCTCTGTCAAATTGGTTGTTGGTTATTACTAGACAACCATTTTCAGGTCTTGCAATAGATTTAAGTCAAAACTAACTCGGCCACTCAGGAACTTTCACTGTCTTCTTGGTAATCAAATCCTGTGTAGATTGTGTTTTAGGTTATTGTACTGCTGAAAGGTGAATTCATCTCCCAGTGTCTGGTGGAAAGCAGACTGAACCAGGTTTTCCCTCTAGGATTTTGCCTGTGCTTAGCTCCATTCCATTTATTTTTTATCCTGAAAAACTCCCCAGTCCTTAACAATTACAAGCATACCCATAACATGATGCAGCCACGACTATACTTGAAAATTTGGAGAGTGGTACTCAGTAATGTCTTGTATTGGATTTGCCCCAAAACATTACACTTTGTATTCAGGACAAAAACGTAATCACTTTGCCAAATTTTTTGCAGTATTACTTTAGTGCCTTGTTGCAAACTGGGTGCATGTTTTGGAATATTTTTATTCTGTAGAGGCTTCCTTCTTTTCATTCTGTCAATTAGGTTAGTATTGTGGAGTAACTACAATGTTGTTGATCCGTCCTCATTTTTCTCCTATCACAGCCATTAAACTCTGTAACTCTTTTAAAGTCACCATTGGCCTCATGGTGAAATCCGTAAGCGGTTTCCTTCCTCTCCAGCAAATTAGGTTAGGAAGGACGCCTGTATCTTTGTAGTGTCTGGGTGTATTGGCACACCATCCAAAGTGTAATTAATAACTTCACCATGCTCAAAGGGATATTCAATGTCTGCTCTTTTTTTCCCCGTCTACCAATAGGTGCCCTTCTTTGCAAGGCATTGGAATACATCTCTGGTCTTTGTGGTTGAATCTGTGTTTGAAATTGACTGCTCGACTGAGGGACCTTACAGATAATTGTATGTGTGGGGTACAGAGATGAGGTAGTCATTCAAAAATCATGATAAACACTATTATTGCATACAGATTGAGTCCATGCAACTTGTGAAGCACATTTTTACTGCTGAACTTATTTAAGCTTGCCATAACAAAGGGGTTGAATACTTAATGACAAGACATTTCAGCTTTTCATTTTTAATTAATTTGTAAAAATGTCGAAAAACATAATTCCACTTTGACATTATGGGGTATTGTGTGTAGTGTCAAAAACATCTCAATTTAATCCATTTTAAATTCAGGCTGTAACAACAAAATGTGGAAAAAGTCAAGAGGTGTGAAAACTTTGAAGGATAGGTCATTTGATGCAAACGTACTGTAAGTAGGTTATAACTTTTCCATTGTATAAATTACATTATCACAATTGCTTGCTTGCAACACATGACTGGTCAGGGTCTGTACAACAAAGGGAATTAGCCAGAACCAAGCATGAGGGACAATGTTGATTGGCAGGTGGAATGATGTCCAATGAGGTGGCAAGGTTAAACTGGGACGCGGGGTCCGATCGGCACTGCATTGTTCAATGAGGTTGTGGGGTGAAGCCATGCATGTGCACAGCTCATGAACACCACAGGGTTTAAATTATCTTTGTGCGTGCTAGAGGCTCGAGAACAATGACGTGATGACGCAGTACAACATTTTCGTTACCACTTTTGGCTCGAGAGTGCTACATTCAGAACTACTGGCTAAAAAGTATACAAAAGTACAGAGGAATCTCTGAAGTATTTTTCTACCTGACAGATTTAACCTGACTTTTTTTTTTCTTTCTTGAAAGCATGAATGCAGAGGAGTGGCATTTATCAAAACTCAATTTATTGATAGAATAAATAAATTCCAAACAATATCATACATCTTTATGGCTGCCTATCTTACAGGACAGACAATTCTGACATTTACATAAGAGCTTTTGTCAGGAAATGCATGCATAAATATACTTGGTACAGTATACTGTTGCACAGACATGATGGATTGGATGCTGCAGTGCACAATGAAAATGTGCTTGATGAACATTGAAAATAAATGACTTTTTTGGATTTTTGTCATCTACAGTTGAGTGGTCATTTGAACTCAACTCCTCCTGAGATCAGCCAGTGACTGTCTTCCTGTCCTTGGTAACATGAGTTAATCTAGTCTCAACTGTCTTCGTCATGTGACTGTAAGTAAACCGGCTTGGCCTGCTTCCTCATGCGTTGCTGTGCTTTCAGCTTCCTGCCTTTTTGGGTTGCCAGTCCCATTATAGGCAGGTATATCTGCAATGGAGTGTATAGAACCAAAATAAAAACATTACATTAGACAATAGTGAAATTACACAATAGTGCCTGAGAGATATAAACACATTTGTTCTGGTTTAGAGGTCTGTCACTTACAGGTCTTGGATAGGGGTTCCTGTAATGAAGACCTGCAAATCAGAGTGGGGAAAAATGTCACTCACATTCTCACACCAAAGCATTTAAGTGTGAACAGTGTATGTTAACTTTCCAGATACATTACTAAATGAAATCATTAAAGGCTGTTGTTGACACTTACCAATTTCTATCCTTGCCTCACATTCGTCTATGCACTTCTTTATTGATTCCTGATCTGTCAACTAAAAGGGATACACAGAACAGATAAAGATGATTTTGACCTACACCAGACAACCTTTAGGTTTATCTTTTAGGGATGAGCATGAATAATAGAGTACTCGAACGGACGCCAAATCTCAATCTTTAACCAAAGATCAATTTTTTTTTAATACTGTAAAACTATTTGGTGGAATGTGCTTTGTGGCTGCCCGAAGAGGCAAGTTAAATTTGGTCTTGAAGACAAAATTAATTTGCTTTGACTCTAGTGTTCTATTTGTACATGTGCATTTGCGGGGAACAACAAAAAATAAACCAAGCATCACACTGTTCTTCTCCCTAAATTCCCTTTCCCCTCTGTGTCTTATTCACTCAATTGCGTTCTTCCCTCCACACACACACACGTGTGCCGAGTGCGCACACATGCTCCCGTTAGGCCTACAGAAATAAATGCCTTTAAAAACGTATAACTGATGGGATACACTAGCTACATTCCTTGCCAAATGACAGCAGTTTTATCACAAATTCAAAATAGTGTGGTTGATTGAAACAGGAAAATGTTTTCCAACAAAGAGCTGCAGTTCTGAAATAATTGCATCCCATATATTTTCCGCTTAAGCTACTTTGAGAACTGCTAGTGCCATTTAGAATTGGTTAGCCTATAACCCCCCTCTAAATATAGACAGGTTCCACACTGAAAATATGCAAAAACATTAGTTTGATAAATACAAAGAGTGTATTTTCATCAGAATCATTAAGCATTTGCCTGCACTCCAAACCGATGTAATGTCCGTAATTCATCACCATGCAGTGTTCAATGTGGAATTGTTTATTACATTTTGAAAATGTAAAAGAACAGGCAGAATAAACTACACTGAACAAAAATATAAATGCAACATGTAAAGTGTTGGTCCCATGTTTCATGAGCTAAAATAAAAAGAGCACAGAAATGTTCCATCCGCACAGAAAGCTTATTTCTCTCAAATGTTGTGCACAAATTTGTTTACATCCCTGTTAGTGAGCCAAGATAATCCATCCACCTGACAGGTGTGGCATTGCAAAAAGCTGATTAAAAACAGCATGATGATTGCACTAGTGCACCTTGTGCTGGGGACAATAAAAAGCCACTAAAACGTGCAGTTCTGTCACACAACACAATGCCACAGATGTCTCAAGTTGAGGGAGCGTGCAATTGGCATGCTGACTGCAGGAATGTCCACCAGAGCTGTTGCCAGAGAAATGAACGTTCATTTCTCTACCATAAGCCGACTCCAATGTCGTTTTAGAGAATTTGGCAGTACGTCCAACCGGCCTCACAACCGCAGACCACGTATAACCACACCAGCCCAGGACCTCCACATCTGGCTTCTTTGCCTGCGGGATCGTCTGAGACCAGCCACCTGGATAGCTGATGAAACTGAGGAGTATTTCTGTCTGTAATAAAGCCCTTTTGTGGGGAAAAACTCATTCTGATTGGCTGGGCCTTGCTCCCCCGTGGGTGGACCTATGCACTCCCACCCATGTTTGCGCCCCTGACCAGTCATGTGAAGTCCATAGATTAGGGCCTATTGAATTTATTTCAATTGACTGACTTCCGTATAAGAATTGTAACTCAGTAAAATCATGTTGCATGTTGCATAAAATTGTTGCATGTTGTGTTCATATTTTTGTTCAGTATAAATCGAACATCTGTATATTGAAAAGATAATGATTTTGGTTTGTTACCCTGAAAAAAAAAAAAACACATTGCCACATTGAGCAACGTTTCAAATGATCAATCTTTGAGAAAAACTGTTCCAGGCACGAGATATGCATCACTTCGCACTGGCAACTTTTTTCCTTGGAAATATATTCTGTTATATTTTATTCTGTTATATTACATCATGTTTTTTAAAAGTATAAAATAGATGTGTCTTGACTGTGATAAGGGCTTGGGAAATAAGAGCGTCTTGTCTGCTAAATTAACAAAACAAGGCAATGCCATTGCACAGCCATAGGCCTCCACAAGCAAGCGCCACTGCTAAGAATACTGCCTTTTTGAAAAATGTGTTCCACAATATAATATAACCCGTAGATATTACAGTTTCAATCAATGAATCTTAAAATCTTTTTTATTGACTGAATATATATGGGGCAATTTAGCAATTACGATTTGTTATCGGTAATGGTTATGATAAATTAGGGATTGTTGCGATCTGTTGGCATATTTTTTCCAATGCGGTCCTTCTGTGTGATTTTGGGGGGATTTCTTAGGCCGATATTCAATATCATTATGTTGAATGCAAAATTACCCAGAGACACTCATGTATGCATTAATGCATCCGTATATACAGTACCAGTCAAAAGTTGACACACCTACTCTTTTTTTATTTGAACTATTTTCTACATTGTAGAATGGTGAAGACATCAAAAATATGAAAAAACACATGGAATCATGTAGTAACCAAAAAAAGTGATAAACAAATCAAAATATATTTTATATTTGAGATTCTTCAAAGTAGCCACCCTTTGCCTTGATGACAGCTTTGCACACTCTTGGCATTCTCTCAACCAGCTTCACCTGGAATGCTTTTCCAACAGTCTTGAAGGAGTTCCCACATATGCTGAGCACTTGTTGGCTGCTTTTCCTTCACTCTGCGGTCCAACTCATCCCAAACCATCTCAATTGGGTTGAGGTCGGGGGATTGTGGAGGCCAGGTCATCTGATGCAGCACTCCATCACTCTCCTTCTTGGTAAAATAGCCCTTACACAGCCTGGAGGTGTGTTGGGTCATTGTCCTGTTTAAAGACAAATGATAGTCCCACTAAGCCCAAACCAGATGGGATGGCGTATCGCTGCAGAATGCTGTGGTAGCCATGCTGGTTAAGTGTGCTTTGAATTCTAAATAAATCAGACATTGTCACCAGCAAAGCACCCCCACACCTCCCCCTCAACGCTTCACGGTGGGAACTACACACGCGGAGATCATCCATTCACCTACACTGAGTCTCACAAAGATACAGCGGTTGGAACAAAAAATCTCAAATTTGGACTCCAGACCAAAGGACAGATTTCCACCGGTCTAATGTCCATTGCTCGTGTTTCTTGGCCCAAGCAAGTCTCTTCTTCTTATTGCTTCCTTTAGTAGTGGTTTCTTTGCAGCAATTCGACTATGAAGGCCTGATTCACGCAGTCTCCTCTGAACAGTTGATGTTGAGATGTGTCTGTTACTTGAACTCTGTAAAGCACTTATTTGGACTGCAATTTCTGAGGCTGGTAACTCTAATGAACTTATCCTCTGCAGCAGAGGTAACTCTGGGTCTTCCATTCCTGTGGCGGTCCTCATGAGAGCCAGTTTCATCATAGCCGCTTGATGGTTTTTGCGACTGCACTTGAAGAAACATTCAAAGTTCTTGACATTTTCCGTATTGACTGACCTTCATGTCTTAAAGTAATGACGGACTGTCGTTTCTCTTTGATTATTTGAGCTGTTCTTGCCATAATATGGACTTGGTCTTTTACCAAATAGGGCTATCTTCTGTATACCCCCCCTACCTTGTCACAACACAACTGATCGGCTCAAACGCATTAAGAAGAAAATAAATTCCACAAATGAACTTTTAGGAAGGCACACCTGTTAATTGAAATGCATTCCAGGTGACTACCTCATGAATCTGGTTGAGAGAATGCCAATAGTGTGCAAAGCTGTCATCAAGGCAAAGGGTGGCTACTTCGAAGAATCTCAAATATAAGATATATTTTGATTTGTTTAACACTTTTTTGGTTACTACATGATTCAATGTATTATTTCATAGTTTTGATGTCTTCACTATTATTCTACAATGTAAAAGAATAGTAAAAATAAAGAAAAACCCTGGAATGAGTAGGTGTCCAAACTTTTGACTGGCACTGGAAAGTATTCAGACTTTTTCCACATTTTGTTACGTTACAGCTTTATTCTAAAATTGATTAAATCGTTTTTTCCCCTCATCAATCTACACACAATACCCCATAATGACAAAGCAAAAACAGGTTTTTAGACATTTTAGCAAACGTATTTAAAAAAAAAACGGAAATATGACATTTACATAAGTATTCAGACCCTTTAAATCAGTACTTTGTTGAAGCACCTTTGGCAGTGCTTAGGGTCGTTGTCCTGTTGGAAGGTGAACCTTCGCCCCAGTCTGAGGTTCTGAGCGCTCTGGAGCAGGCTTTCATCAAGGATCTCTCTGTACTTTGCTCCGTTCATCTTTTCCTCAAACCTGACTAATCTCCCAGTCCCTGCCGCTGAAAAACATCCCCAAAGTATGATGCTGCCACCACCGTTCTTCACCATAGGGATGGTACCAGGTTTCCTCCAAACGTGATGCTTGGCATTCAGGCCAAAGACTTCAATCTTGGTTTCATCAGACCAGAGAATGTTGTTTCTCATGGTCTGAGAGTCTTTAGGTGCCTTTTGGCAAACTCCAAGCGGGCTCTCATGTGCCTTTTACTGAGGAGTGGCTTCCATCTGGCCAATCTACCATAAAGGCGTGATTGGTGGAGTGCTGCAGAGATGGTTGTCCTTCTGGAAGGTTCTTCCATCTCCACAGATGAACTCTGGAGCTCTGTCAGAGTGACCATCGGGTTCTTGGTCACCTCCCTGACCAAGGCCCTTCTCCCCCGATTGCTCAGTTTGGCCGGGCGGCCAGCTCTAGGAAGAGTCTTGGTGGTTCCAAACTTCTTCCATTTAAGAATGATGGAGGCCACTGTGTTCTTGGGGACCTTCAATGTTGCAGACATTTTTTGCTGCCCTTCCTCAGATCTGTGCCTCAACACAATCCTGTCTCGGAGCTCTATGGACAATTCCTTCGACCTCATGGCTTGGTTTTTGCTCTGACATGCACTGTCAACTGTGGGACCTTATACAGACAGGTGTGTGCCTTTCCAAATCATGTCCAATTAATTGAATTTACCACAGGTGGACTCCAAGTTGTAGAAACATCTCAAGGATGATCAATGGAAACAGGATGCACCTGAGCTCAATTTCGAGTCTCATAGCAAAGTGTCTGAATACTTATGTAATTAAGGTATTTCTGTTTTTTATTTTTAATACATTTGCTAAAATCTCTAAAAACCTGTTTTCGCTTTGTCATTATGGTGTATTGTGTGTAGATTGATGAGTGAAAACAATTATTTCATTGATTTTAGAATGAGGCTGTATCGTAACAAAATGTGGAAAAAGTATAGGGGTCTGAATACTTTCCAAATGCACTGTATATAAAACATTTGCTGTCAGGACACATCTCTAAACAACTCAGCTGCAAGGACGAAATTTTAAACAACTCAATTGGCTAGTTCTGCTATCTGTCAAGAAAAGGGCGGGTTGTAACTTGATCCTACTGCAACGATTGCATAGAGCGAGGCCTTTCACATCTTTCCCCATCACTCAAATCACTTGCTGTTGCTTTTATGAGAACTATCTCAATGGCGATGACATTTGTTCCCAAGCCATAAATGTGCATAATATCTAACAAGGAGAGCGAAGGTAGGAAAAATATGAAACGAAGATGCACGTTCTGTCTGACAAGCTAGGTTTCCATCCAATTGGCGACAGATTTTCATGCATATTTTCTAAAATCAGCATAAAGAAAATATGCTCACTTTCCCACCAGTGGTCTGTTTTTACACCAAACACACTTGTTGCGGATAAAAATCAATGCGTGATGGCGTAGTGCACACAAAATGTACTTTTTCGCTTACCAAATAAAAATATAAATGTTCAATGTGTTTCAAATCAAATCACATTTTATTTGCCTCATGCGCCGAATACAACAGGTGTAGACCTTACAGTGAAATGCTTACTTACAAGCCCTTAACCAACAATGCAGTTAAGAAAATAAAACAAAGTGTTAAGTAAAAAATAGATAAGTAAAACATTTTAATAGCAAATAATTAAAGAGCAGCAGTAAAATAAAATAACAGTAAGGAGGCTATATACAGGGGGTACCGGTACAGAGTCAATGTGCGGGGGCACCGGTTAGTCGAGGTAATTGAGGTAATATGTACATGTGGGTAGAGTTAAAGTGACTATGCACAGATAATAAACAGAGTAGCAGCAGCGTAAAAGAGGGGGTGGGGGCAATGCAAATGGCCGGGTAGCCATGATTAGCTGTTCAGGAGTCTTACGGCTTGGGGGTAGAAGCTGTTAAGAAGCCTTTAGGACCTAGACTTGGCGCTCCGGTACCGCTTGCCGTGCAGTAGCGGAGAGAACAGTCTATGACTAAGGTGGCTGGAATCTTTGACAATTTTTAGGGCCTTCCTCTGACACTGCCTGGTATAGAGGTCCTGGATGGCAGGAAGCTTGGCCCCAGTGATGTACTGGGCCGTACGCACTACACTCTGTAGTGCCTTGCGGTCGGAGGACGAGCAGTTGCCATACCAGGCGGTGATGCAACCAGTCAGGATGCTCTCGATGGTGCAGCTGTAGAACTTTGAGGATCTGAGGACCCATGCCAAATCTTTTCAGTCTCCTGAGGGGGAATAGGCTTTGTCGTGCCCTCTTCACGACTGTCTTGGTGTGTTTGGACCATGATAGTTTGTTGGTGATGTTGACATCAAGGAACTTGAAGCTCTCAACCTGTTCCACTACAGCCCCGTCAATGAGAATGCTGTTTGACAGCAGTCAAGCATTTTCATCCCATTTTCAACTCAACTGATATTTTTGTCACAAAAAGTGTTGAGTTTAATGTACCTACTCTGGTTTTTGCAGGTGCGCTCTAACCAACAACTTGCAGATACAGTGTGGGTAGGCTGTGCGGGTACTGGGTAGGCTAGTCTACATGAGATTATTATGGACAAAAGCAAGAACATTTTTCTTTGTCGAACAGCAGTCAAGCATCGATCATCATGTCACCAGAATAAGACCCTCGATATTTATTGGAAAGTTGCATCAAGCTCATCATTTTACATTTACATTTTAGTCATTTAGCAGACGCTCTTATCCAGAGCAATTTACAGGAGCAATTAGGGCACATCGACAGATTTTTCACCTAGTCGGCTCGGGGATTAGAACCAGCGACCTTTCGGTTACTGGCACAACGCTCTTAACAACTAAGCTACCTGCTGCCCCGTGCACTTTCACCACCCTGTGAAGTTCATCATCATTTATTTAACCAACCTGTAGCCCAATAAACTGCATGGTTTCGAGTCGTGGGAGGGCCACACACCATATCATCGCGTGACTCCAAGTTTATTTCAATATGATGTTATTATATCAATATTTGCGCATAAAGGCGTTTCCACTGCCATTTCTTACATAATACATTTTACTGACACAACAAGATCCATGTTGAACAAACAAATAATATGTCTGCATTTATAAAACTGTACCCTAACTTTCTGTTTCCATCACAGCTGTCGGGATTTTTCTTTATATGGTATGACTTTACTCACATCAAAACTGTGGACACCCGCTGACCTACATATTTCTTGGTCCATAAACATGCAGGAACATTCTTAGGTAGCTACACCTATTGTCAACCTTAATTTAGGCATTTTAAAAACACTTCCTTCTTTCCCTAATACGACAATCATCTAATCCGACTATCAACTGTCAATTTACGGATATGATTGCGGCTGGTCAGATAAACACACCAGTAAATAGCTAAAGTTACACCGCAAGTCAGATGGCTCATTGCCGAAAATGGTGCATGTTCAAAATGATAACCAGCTAACGTTATTTAGCTACATTGGCTAATAGCTTCTATCTGATATCTTAGCACCATGTTTATCTAGCCAGCAAGCTAACATAGTAGCCAATATAGCTACAGTGAGGGAAAAAAGTATTTGATCCCCTGCTGATTTTGTATGTTTGCCCACTGACAAAGACATGATCAGTCTATAATTTTAATGGTAGGTATATTTGAACAGTGAGAGACAGAATAACAACAAAATAATCCAGAAAAACGCATGTCAAAAATGTTATAAATTGATTCGCATTTTAATGAGGGAAATAAGTATTTGACCCCTCTGCAAAACATGACTTAGTACTTGGTGGCAAAACCCTTTGTGGCAATCACAGAGGTCAGACGTTTCTTGTAGTTGGCCACCAGGTTTGCACACATCTCAGGAGGGATTTTGTCCCACTCCTCTTTGCAGATCTTCTCCAAGTCATTAAGGTTTCGGTTTTGGGTCATTGTCATGCTGGAATACCCATCCACGACCCATTTTCAATGCCCTGGCTGAGGGAAGGAGGTTCTCACCCAAGATTTGACGGTACATGGCCCCGTCCATCGTCTCTTTGATGCTGTGAAGTTGTCCTGTCCCCTTAGCAGAAAAACACCCCCAAAGCATAATGTTTCCCACCTCCATGTTTGACGGTGGGGATGGTGTTCTTGGGGTCATTGGCAGCATTCCTCCTCCTCCAAACACGGCGAGTTGAGTTGATGCCAAAGAGCTCGATTTTGGTCTCATCTGACCACAACACTTTCACCAAGTTCTCCTCTGAATCATTCAGATGTTCATTGGCAAACTTCAGACGGGCCTGTATATGTGCTTTCTTGAGCAGGGGGACCTTGCGGGCACTGCAGGATTTCAGTCCTTCACGGCGTAGTGTGTTACCAATGGTTTTCTTGGTGACTATGGTCCCAGCTGCCTTGAGATCATTGACAAGATCCTCCCGTGTAGTTCTGGGCTGATTCCTCACCGTTCTCATGATCATTGCAACTCCACGAGGTGAGATCTTGCATGGAGCCCCAGGCCGAGGGAGATTGACAGTTATTTTGTGTTTCTTCCATTTGCGACTAATCGCACCAACTGTTGTCACCTTCTCATCAAGCTGCTTGGCGACGTTCTTGTAGCCCATTCCAGCCTTGTGTAGGTCTACAATCTTGTCCCTGACATCCTTGGAGAGCTCTTTGGTCTTGGCCATGGTGGAGAGTTTGGAATCTGATTGATTGATTGCTTCTGTGGACAGGTGTCTTTTATACAGGTAACAAGCTGAGATTAGGAGCACTCCCTTTAAGAGTGTGCTCCTAATCTCAGCTCGTTACCTGTATAAAAGACACCTGGGAGCCAGAAATCTTTCTGATTGAGAGGGGGTCAAATACTTATTTCCCTAATTAAAATGCAAATCAATTTATAACATTTTTGACATGCGTTTTTCTGGATTTTTTTGTTGTTATTCTGTCTTTCACTGTTCAAATAAACCTACCATTAAAATTATAGACTGATCATTTCTTTGTCAGTGGGCAAACGTACAAAATCAGCAGGGGATAAAATACTTTTTTCCCTCACTGTAGCTAGCTAACACTACAGATGAGATGGTTAGTTATCGTAATCTTTGCTAACAGATCACCAGTGGTGTAAAGTACTAAAGTAAAAATACTTTAAAGTACTACTTAAGAAGTTTTTTTTGGTATCTGTACTTTACTATTTATATTTTGGACAACTTTTACTTCACTACATTCCTAAAGAAAATAATTTACTTTTTACTCTATACATTTTCCCTGACATCCAAAAGTACTTATTACATTTTGAATGCATAGCAGGACAGGAAAATGGTCCATTCACACACTTATCAAGAGAACATCCCTGGTCATCTCTACTGCCTCTGATCTGGCGGACTCACTAAACACACATGCTTCATTTGTAAATTATGTCTGAGTGTTGGAGTGTGTCCCTGGCTATCCATTTATTTCAAAAAAAGAAGAAAATCGTGCTGTCTGGTTTGCTTAACAATTTATAAGAAATTTGAAATGATTTATACTTTTAATACTTAAGTATATTTTAGGACTTAATTTTACTTTTGATACTTAAGTATTGTAATGAAACAGGCAGGGAGCAGGTCTCGAACCCTCAACCTTCTGGCCCTAAATCCAGCGCGCCATCGACTGTGCCCCAAAAGCATGCTCGCGTAGCAGAGTCGATATCCGCGCTTATAAACCCTGAGTCGTTACAGTATATTTAAAACCAAATACTTTTAGACTTACTCAAGTAGTATTTTACTGGGTGACTTTTATGAGAGTTATTTTCTATAAAGGTATCTGTACTTTTACTCAAGTATGACAATTGGGTACTTTTTCCACCACTGCAGGTCACATATTTATCTGCTTAGCTAGCCATTAACAGGAGTTTAATTTTGGTCACTGTCTCAATTAATCAATTTCTCAATACTGCACCTTTCTGTTGGAGAATGAGCTAGCTTGCTGTTGCTGCTGATTTTCCCAGCTAGACATTCCTCAGCATTGTGCAGTGCTCAGGCGGTGAGTGGCGGCTGGCATAGCAGCAGATTTGCTATGTAGAGGGATAGACTAGAAAATGCCTATATCGGTTCTATTGTCTCGGACAATTATTGGTTGTTCTCTACTAAAAATATGTATTTTCCATTCGAGTACTCGGACAGTCATAAAATGTCAAATACCCATCCCTTCTATCTTTACCTGTTGGTTCTGTCTGAAGAGGGTCTGGGCCTCCTGGACAATGTACTGTCTCTCGCTCTCCGTGTCTTGTGAGAGTGTGGACTGCCAGCCCCGAGCGATCCGAAATACCCTCATATACAGTGACAGGACCTGATTACGTGTGGCTGACGTCATTTGGTCTAAAAACAATACAAAACAGGGAATATAAAGAATATATGCTGGGAGTAAAAGACTGGGACCCTGTTTGAATTTATATAACCACTGATCAAACATAATTGGATAGGTGAAAACATATATATTTAGAATATATATGACCGTGGGTTAAGGTTCCATTACATTGCTTTGAATGATTACTGAAACAGAAGTAGGTTTAGTCCTGGGAAAGTGTGGGAAAATAATACATGTACATGCATGTTGAAATAAACCACTTGGTGGCAATATAACATCGGAACATTTGTTTTTTAATTGTAGCAGGGACTAGAATCACTAGATAGCTATCAGCTTAGTACAGTTCTTCACCTACAGCCCATCCCCGGTGACTGGTTAAAAGCCATTGATCGTATGTAGACTATAATTAAATGAGCTGATTTTCTGAAAAGTGTACTTTACATAACTATATTTAATTTTGATTCAGTAGCTAGCTGGGCTCTGCGTCACGCCGATGAACATGGGCTAACGTGAGCTAGCAGGGTGAAAAGCCAATGTACCTGGCTAATGATGACATGCTTATCTTTAATATAATTGGAACATCTAGGACAGTAATATCTAACGGTGTATGTCTACATTACAATAACATCAAGTCATTATGCGGACTTACAGAATAGTCGTATTATTTATTACTTGACCTACCTGCTATGCTGTTAGCTTTTTTGACAACATGTCGCATAGACATGACGCAATTTGATAGGCGTGTTCGCAGCAATCAGTGTGTTGCAAAGTCGATACGAAACAATGAAATAGTCCAAATGTAATTCGCTTTCAAAGCCCTTCAAGTTCAACCCCAAAGAAGAAGATTTCACCAGATATTACATTAATGTTGATTCCTGTTCGATTGATTTTTTTGCCAGCCACTTCAATGTTGAACAAAATATAAACAGGGGACATCCTTATCCATGTAGATCAGTGGTTATCATAGCTTACTAGCTGTCTCGCTTGTATGATGCTCTGCGGGGAGGAAGTGATGCAGGGAAAATTCCCTTAATGTCCACATAAAGGCGAAACACAAAGAAACTGTAAGCCTTTCGTACTGGTTCATCTGACTTGTTTGATTTAGCAGTCAATTTAAAGTAGAAGTCAGTCGTTTAGGGCGGTTGTTGGCAAACCTGGTGCGTTCTTTTCAGGCAAACGTCAGCTGAAACGCTCGGTTTTGTTTATGATACTGACTAGCTATCGTTAGCTACTAGCATTAGCTTAGCTGGCTAGCTTTGTAGCTAAGTGGGGCTGTTTGTTTGTGTCGTTTCCTAAGCTAGTTAGCTAACGATATTAGTTTTACTAGCTAATGTTATTGGAGTGATGTACGCGATTTCCTAGACAATCAACTGTTTTTAAAAGGTACGTTTCTTGTTCACTATCTAAACAAGTTTAAAGCTATGGCATGCTAGCTAGTTAGATAGAGAACGTTATCTGTAAAGTTAGCGCTCTAGCTACATGGTGGCTGGCTAACTAGCACTAGCTAGGGTATGATGATGGCGAAGTATAGCTAGCCACAAACAAGGCTGTATTTTGTCAGAAAACTTAGTTACTGTAGTTGTTAGACAGTCATGTTGATTAGGTTACCATGTTGTTAGCTGGTCAAACTAAAAGACGCAACTAGCCAACGCGTTCAGATGAGTTACCTAGACTAGCTAGTTTAGATTCTTTCTGGCAGTGTTATTTTGATAAATGGGTTGCTAGCTAAATAGTTACGTAGATAGCTAGCTATGTTAGCTAGATATTCCCCTTAGTATTGAAATGGCAGATGTGTTCCTAGTCAGTTAGCTACTACAACAAACTCAATTTGCCATAATAGAATGGGGTGAACATATTTGAAAGCACTGCAGGCTTTCCAGGAGGTGTTTTACCTGTACATGTCCATGAGGAAACTAGATCGGAAGTTTCATTCCTCATGAATAGTTTCAATAGCTAAATGTGATCAGGGGAGGTTCTCTTGTAGTTAAGTGTTTCGTCATCAAATCATGAGAAAGACAGGCAAAAAATTAGAAAAAAATAGCTGGTTGGCTTATGAATCTTGCGACAGCTGGAAGCTATCATGAATTTCTCACGAGTCACATAATATTTCAAATGTGTATATAATTAAAAGTTCTCTCACAAAGGAGAAGGCTGAGACATATTTATCGCTATAGTTTGCTGTGGGAATACTCTGCAACGTAGTAACTGACTGCTTTCTTGATATCAAATTACAAATTCACAGCAAGTTAACAAACTGAATCTACATGTGGGGGAACAACACCGCTGTATGACATTATGTTTATGGTGACAAGATGGTGTGTCTCTTTCAGCATTGCAGATGTCAAGGTCACCACAATGGAGCAGAAAAAGATGACACCTTCATCTAGAGTGGTCAATGCAGTCTGAGGAAGTGTCTGTAAGTATTTATCAGAACCAACCCATTCTTGCTCTATCTCCGAACTTTTCTGGTAGGGTATTGTGTAGGCTAGTAGTATGTATGATCCGGACCACTTCTAAGTGTTTTATCTTGTGGTTTCTATGGTTTAAAACATATTGTTGTCTCTAAGTAGTTGTCTGTGTTTCTATGGTAACCCATGCTGTATAAGGCTCCGCTCTATAAGTGTTTTGTACTTACACAGCCATCCAGTTTGATTTGAACCCTCCTCCTCTCCATGGTACAGTACCAGCTTCTATGGTCCCAGGGCCAGGCTTCAAAAATCTGCCAGGCACTCCACCCTTCTTCGTTGGTGGTGATGTAGCCTACTGTATGATCTTCATATGTTTTTCTAACTTTAGCATTTAGCGGTCGTTTTCTCTAGTAATTATTACCTCAGTGTTTTACCTTTTGACCCTTTGTGACTCACAGCTTTGTTGATTCAGTGACTCATTGTCACTGTTGTTGTTGACCCTGTGTGACCGTGTTGCACTCCTCCTCTGTCCCAGGGCCCGAGGGCATGTTGAGACATCTCACCAGGCCAGAGCAGAGGTGTCTAGGTGGGGCAGACGGGGCCTGAAGGAGGGGAGGACAGACCGGGAGGACCAGAGAGAGAGACATGGGCCAGTGTGTCACCAAGTGTAAGAACCCATCGTCCTCGCTCGGCAGCAAGAGTGGCGACAAGGAGCCTGGGTCCAAGTCCCACCACAAGAAAGGCGGGGGCACGGGAGGCAGTGGCGGAGGAGGGCACAAGGAGGAGCCCAGCGCCCTGTGCAACAAGGCCTCCAGCGAGCTCATGTTCAACGGCACCAAGAACGCCTTGGAGGTTACCGTGGAGACCACGGTGATCCCCGCATCGGCCATGATGGGGGACCTGAGGAATGAGGAGCGCTCGGTGGCAGACAGGGAGGGGCCGTCCTTGCTGCGCATCGAGGAGCTTTTCTGCTGCTACAAGGACCCACAGGAGGAGTCTATCTTGGAGGAGGGCATGGAGAGGTTCTGCAACGACCTGTACGTGGACCCCGCCGAGTTCCGCGTGCTGGTCCTCGCCTGGAAGTTTCAGGCGGCCACCATGTGCAAGTTTACAAGGTGAGAGATGGGTTGGGAAGGGGTAGGGATAAGACAAAGAAAATGCTACATCAATGTGTTCTTGCCTGTTATTCAGAGAACATGTTCTGTGAAGATTCCTCAAGTCAAGTATTGGTCCAAAAGAGACCATATTAGCTCATAATGTCTGGTGCTTGATCTCTGACCAAATTCTAAAATGGCTACTTCTGTCCTGCACTGTCTGTTGTTAGGCTAGCTTCCTCTCACTGTGCAGTGTTTTGTTTAACATTGTTCTGGCTGGCCACCCCACTCCACCTCCACTCTTTTCATCAGCTCTGTAGCTCACACTTGCTAGTTGACAGGTAGAGGGCATACAGGAAATAGAATCAGTCTCTGGCTCTGACACTGCACTCTGTAATGAGTGGCTAAGATTAGTATGGAGTGGACAGTGTGTCTTTCTCTGATTGTCTATTGCTCAGATGATTCTGTCTCATCAATTGTCATGTAATGTTGTACCTAGTCTGAAGATTGGACCTATTGCCATCATTTTACCTATTAAAAATGTTTCTAATCTGAGATGCCTATAGCCAGAAACTTTAAAAGGTTTACTGTCGCTTTGCTGTTCACACCAGGTCTGATTTAATGTCTGCTGTATAAAAGGGGGTGGAAAAACAAGGCATATCAGGGGACATATCTGGCCAGGGTGAAATGCTGAAGCGACAGAAGCACAATGTGGCAGGGTGAGAGGATGTGGCAGGGTGACAGGATGTGGTCAAGTTAATCTCAGGGGGCATCTTGCCCATTCTCTCCCTGTGCTGTAAAGTGTCTGGGTCTGTTTCACTTTGTTATACTGATAAAGAGTTGAGAGACCTAGAAGGCACAGTTATTTCCTTGCTTACTTTACCTGACTTGTGTATGTTGAGGCCTTGGTGATGTTTATCAGAGTTTGATGGTAAGAGTTTCTCAACTGAGCTGTTGACTTGAAATTGCCCAGGTTGTCAGTGTTGCCAAAAATGTAAGAAACTGACAGGTTTTTCTCCATAAGGCTCATTGCCCTGAGTTGATATTATGTTGCGGCAAGGTTATTATAGATTTGTGTTTTTATATTGGTTTTATTTCTAATCATTTTTTTTTTTTTCAATTTTTATTTTAAATTCAGTTTAGTTTCAGTTCGTTTTCAGACCTGATTTGCTAGTTTTTATTTAGTAAAAATATTTCTATATAGTTTTTATTTAGTTGCAGTTGTAGTTTTAGTGTTGGACAGAAAGCATGTGTGGGAGGCTAGGAACCGTTTGTGTTGGATAGTTTATTTTGTGGTGTTTTTTGGGATCTTACTACAGTACTACATAGTGCCATGGCTACATGGAACTATATTCCACATCAGGTAAGATTTCTTTATTTTTACTGATGATAATACACCTTATGGAACAGCGGGGACTGTGAAGAGACAGGCACACATACACATGATAAGACATGCACATGGATTTTGTATTGTAGATATGTGGTAGTACAGTAGTGGCCTGAGTGAACACACCTAATGTGTTATGAAATATAATGTCATGTAATATTTTAAATTGTATGTAACTGCTTTAATGTTGCTGGACCCCAGGAAGAGTAGCTGCTGCCTTGGCAGTAGCTAATGGGGATCCTTAATAAATACAAATACCACTGAGAGGGCAGTAATACATAAGGTGATGGATCAGGTCATAGGTTAGGTTGAAATGATAAAGTAAATCTCAATGTGACTTGGATTCAAAAGGAATAGCACCAAGACTGGTGCAAAAAATATGATGGAAGCAAACTCTCGCCCATGTTTACACCAATCCAATGCTAGCAATAGTGATGCACTAAGTAGGCCTATTTGAAACAACACCATCTTCTGGCAGCATTTACCAGCCAGATTCTGTAGCTTGAAAACACCCCAAAATCTCTTAAACTCTGTTAGATTTTTTGCCAAAGTTTTTAGAATAAAACTAAACAATTCATGATGATTTGTATTATATTTAGTTTTGGAGTCAAATATAGTTTCAGTATTGTTAATTATTTTATTTAAGTTTACTAAATAGTTTTTTGAAGAATCATAAAAAAATATATATAATAACCTTTTGTTGTGGTCTATAACGCAGCCCTGTTTCTCTCCGCCTGTCTGTAGGACGGAGTTTGTAGACGGATGCAGGGCAATCCAGGCGGACAGTCTGGAGGGCATCTGCTCCCGGTTCCCCTGCATGCTGCTGGAGGCACAGGGCGAGGAGAACTTCAAGGACCTGTACCGCTTCACCTTCCAGTTCGGCCTGGACGCCGAGGAGGGCCAGCGCTCGCTGCAGCGTGACATCGCCATCGCCCTGTGGCGCCTGGTCTTCACGCAGGACACGCCGGCCATCCTCGAGCACTGGCTGGACTTCCTGGGCGAGAACCCATCGGGCGTGCGGGGCATCTCGCGGGACACCTGGAACATGTTCCTCAACTTCACGCAGGCCATCGGGCCGGACCTGAGCAACTACAGCGAGGACGAGGCCTGGCCCAGCCTCTTCGACACCTTTGTGGAGTGGGAGATGGAGCGCAGGAAAAAGGACGAGCTGTTAAAGAGGTCAGAGGAGGAGGACAGGGGATGCACTGAGACTGATGAGAGCTCTCCCTCCAGCACAGACAGACTTGAAACAGAGGGCGGACGGGGCTCACAGACCTGGGGGGGGCACTGACTATAGGACTATAGAATTCTGTGGAGGGAGGTCGGGGTGGGTGGAGTCTGACTTATAAGTGAACTGTACATCTGTGAATCATTGGATGACATATTAGTATTACCATTACTGTTCCTCTCTCTCCTTTTCTGTTGGAGTGGGCTGGGATTCGCCTACACCCTGCTTTATTTCTGGTTAATGAAAGGGCTCTAAGAACTATTAATGTTTTAAGCACTTCTATTTAAGGTCATTATTTTTCTTGAATGTGTTTTTTTGGTAATTTGGACATGTGGTCCATTTGAATCTTTCCCCACCCTCCCTAAACTCACAAAGAAAGTTCAGTATATAAGGTTGCTTTAAAAGCCAGGTGCCAGAAAGCCATACCCGTTCCCAGGTCTCATTTTTACAGCACACATTGACCTGGAAACACTGGTGATTGGACCTCTCACCCAAAGACAGGCCTATTAAATTCTCATATTACATTAAGAAGAAGGGAAATTGGGACAATCTATTTGTCTGCAAATATAACACCTTATTACCAGAGCTTGAGCTTGACCTTTTGGGGTCAGTGATCAACTTGATTTTAAATTATTTGTTATTTTGGAACAATGTTTGAGTGTGGATAAATTGGGTTGCATTTTGAAATGTGGACTATTTAAAGGGTTATATTCTTGGCCTATCTATCTATTGCCTATAGTTGTGATGGCCAACCATGATTTGTTCAAAGATGTGGTCGTACTTGAGTGTGCATAGTGTCCTAAGACGGCGTAATGTCTTTAAAGTAAAAATTGAAGTGACCACCAATAACTTACTACAATTAGTATTCTGTTTATCTAAATTAAAAAATGTGTTTAGGGTATATACAGTGCATTCGGAAAGTATTCAGACCCCTTCACTTTTTCCACATTTTGTTACATTACAGCCTTATTCTAACATGGATTAAGTAAACATTTTTCCTCATCAATCTACACACAATACCCCATAATGACAAAGCGAAAACAGGTTTTTAGAAATGTTGGCAATTTTGTTACAAATAAACATACCTTATTTACATAAGTATTCATACCCTTTACTATGAGACTCAATTTAGCTCAGGTGCATCCTGTTTCCATTGATCATCCTTGATGTTTCTACAACTTGATTGGAGTCCACCTGTGGTAACTTCAATTGATTGGACATGATTTGGAAAGGCACACACCTGTCTATATAAGGTCCCACAGTTGACAGTGCATGTCAGAGCAAAAACCAAGCCATGAGGTCGAAGGAATCCGAGACAGGATTGTGTCGAGGCACAGATCTGGGGAAGGGTACCAAAAAATGATGGGAGGAGATGGGATAACCTTCCAGAAGGACAACCATCTCTCCAGCACTCCACCAATCAGGCCTTTATGGTAGAGTGGCCAGACGGAAACCACTCCTCAGTAAAAGGCACATGACAGCCCGCTTGGAGTTTGCAAAAGGCACCTAGAGGACTCTCAGACCATGAGAAACAAGATTCTCTGGTCTGATGAAACCAAGATTGAACTCTTTGGCCTGAATGCCAAGTGTCAAATCTGGAGAAAATGTGGCACCATCCCTACGGTGAAGCATGGTGGTGGCAGCATTATGCTGTGGGGATGTTTTTCAGCAGCAGGACTGGGAGACTTGTCAGGATCGAGGGAAAGATGAACGGAGCAAAGTACAGAGATCCTTGATGAGAACCTGCTCCAGAGTGCTCAGAACCTCAGACTGGGGCGAATGTTCACCTTCCAACAGGACAACGACCCTAAGCACACAGCCAAGACAACGCAGGAGTGGCTTCGGGACAAGTCTCTGAATGTCCTTGAGTGGCCCAGCCAGAGCCTGGACTTGAATCCGAGCTAACATCTCTGGAGAGACCTGAAAATGGCTGCGCAGCGACGCTCCCCAGCCAACCTGACAGAGCTTGAGAGGATCTGCAGAGAAGAATGGGAGAAACTCCCCAAATACAGGTGTGCCAAGCTTGTAGCATCATAACCAAGAAGACTTGAGGCTGTAATCGCTGCCAAAGGTGCTTCAACAAAGTTAAAGAGTAAATAGTCTGAATACTTAAGTAAATGGGATTTTTCAGATTTAATTTATTTATAAATTAGCAAACATTTCTAAACTTTTTTTGCTTTGTCATTATGGGGTATTGTGTGGAGATTGGTGAGGATTTTTTTTTTTTTTTAATTCATTTTAGAATAAGGCTTGAATGTAACAATGTGTAAAAGTCAAGAGGTCTGAATATTTATAAGTCCTTTTAAATGTCAAGTTGATTTCTTTGAAAATGATCCCACCCTTTTTTGCTCTCTTCTGCAGTGTAATTTACGAAATATTTTTTGACTGCTCTAGTGTCTTAGCTTATTCGAAATAACATCCAGGGCTTGGTTCCATTTTCGTCCATAGCCCCTGTCCCTTTAGTGCTCAGAGATTCCAAAGGACTGGACACATGTAAGCAATATGGTATTGGCCTGTGGACTTATGCCTATAGCTTTCACATCTAGTTCTTTCAGATCTGTGAACACCCTGGGGTAGGTAGGGGTTAAGGTTAGGCCCTGGTCTTGTGCAGACAGAAGGTGACTGTACCTGGGCTACATTCAGGACTGTTACATTGGGACATTACACAAAGCTTTTGTCTCATTTACCTTACGAAGTTCACAACAATCTTACACCATTGGACAGTTATTCACTCTAGTTTTGTGAGCATGTCAAGAATGTGTGTTGGCTGCTAGTGACGGTTGTGTTAAGTGCACAAAACACAATAGTCCTCCTAGTCGCCATGATTGTAATGTTCTCATGCATTTATGTCTGCAGCACTCGGTTCTAAACCATTCACAACTGTTGAATGAACTTGGACATAGCCCAGGCCTTTTTAGTGACAGTGGATTGTTAACCAGGTTTATTGGCTCATTGAGTGTCTGTAACTAGGTCCAGTGTGGTCAGGTGGTGCCCTTCTTGTGAGGTTTACATTTACAATGGTTTCATTTCAGATCCCTTTGCCCTTTTTTTAAAATAAAAGGCATTGATTTATAATGAATAAAACAGTGTTCAACTTTCGACAGTCGAACACAAAATGCATTTGGGGAGTTTCATTTAGTTTTTGTGGTGTCATTGTCCCGCTCTGATTGAGGGTTGCTGTATGGCTTTTGGGGACATTTGGACACAACTGGGCATCTAATCTAACAAACCTCTTCTCTAATATGTCCCAGTCTGCTCCCTGCCCTGGTTCTTAATTTTCAAGCTAAATATTAGCAATTTCATTAGAAATATAGCATTTAATTGCTACCCTTGTGAAGTTTGAGACATTTTCACAAATTGTAGCTCTCAAATGGCCATAATATAATATATTATTATGGTTACTAAGGGTAGGCAAAGTATTCCCTCCCTCTGCTGTAGTAGGCCTTGGCTGTGTAGGCAGGCAGTGTACACAAAACATGGTGCTCCTCCTCATGGGTGTGTCCAACACAGAGGGGCTTTCGCTACTGGTGGATGTTTCTCCTGGTAACTAGCAACAACTGTTACCAACACACAGGACACATGAAAATCGGACTTCATCTGAATATCGAAAAACTGCTTTATAACACCTGTGAATAGAGCTATGAATTGTGAGTATTTTTTTAAAAGCATTTAACGAAAATGTATCTTATGTCTAAAAACAGCAAGTTTTTTTTTTTAATGGAAAATGGTGAGAAGCCTAGCCATTCGTTAGCGTAGCTGGCTAGTTTAGCCACACAGCTACATTATCCAGTTGTTCTCGTGCAGCCAGCAACATCAGCTAGCGCCGACTTGCTAAAAATCCTGCACAAATAAAGCTGATTATCTATACTAATTCATTCACCGAGTGCGCTAACTTCAACGAATGGAGTGCGTAGTTGAAACTTAGCTATGTGAAATGTAAAAGACTGACATTGTAACAATGACGGAGAATGTAGCCATAGCAGCAGCGTGTAGTTCTTCCTTATGCGGGAAAAAGAGAATCCGGATGCGGGCAACGCTCACATCCAGCACCGCCAACATCTGCAGACGGATGGTCCTCATAAAAAAGTTCATCTCGGTCCATTTCTATTTTCTTGCTACAGAGCTGAATTCAAACATCATGGAATGACATCTTCTCAAATGTGGAGTTAGGGCTATGTGAAAACCAGTGTCTTGGATACACAATGGATAAAGAGGTAAGATAATTTATATTCTTTCTCATTCAAATATTTGCAGAACACAGTAGCTGAGGTCATGTGAATGGACGTCCACTACAAAAAGGGATGGCCTTGCGTCTCCCTGCCATGAAGCCTGATTTATGTGCCCACTCCTCACGTCTCCAGTTGAGGATGCTGTTGCATCTCGGCCAGGGTGCTTTGTAAAGGAGATGGCACAATCCTGACAACGATTAAAAGGATCACAAAAAATACAACGTTTTTAGGCTTGTTTTGTTAATGTCATAATAATAATAAATAATAATATGCCATTTAGCAGACGCTTTTATCCAAAGCGACTTACAGTCATGTGTGCATACATTTTTACGTATGGGTGGTCCCGGGGATCGAACCCACTACCCTGGCGTTACAAGCGCCATGCTCTACCAATTGAGCTACAGACTCTTTTCCACATTATTTTGATGATTGGATTACGGATGTACATTGTGAAAATAAACTCTATGGGTCCAATGTTTGGTGCATACAAGTATGCAAGTATGCAACTAAGTTTATTTTTTACAATATTCCGTTTTTTATTGCATCTGGAATGACATTAGGTGTGCGAATAACACTATTTTCAATAGATTGCCTACATGGCCATTGGCCAAAGTCAGTATTGCACCTCCTATAACATAATATTACAGTGCATCTATGCTGCTGTTCTTCTGTCTTCTCCCTCTTTCATTGTTTTTCTCCTCTTTTCTTCCTCCTCCTCCTCCTCCTCCTCCTCCTCCTCCTCCTCCTCCTCCTCCAGTGTTCCTGCAGATGTTGAAGCATAGTTGGCTGCTAGACTTATGTAAGAGAGCTAGTGATTTCATTCTCTTTCCACAACCTGCATGGGCCTGTGAATTTGCTAGCTAGGCTATATTGAATGTCTTGCTGTTGTCAATACTCAAACCAGAATAATCCTCATAGTCTATCCATTATCTTCATTTCGAAGATGCAGTCTGATGCTAACACTCCATTCAAAATTGTTGAAGTTATCTTATCATTTGACACGATCTGGTTTTGTTTTTTCGTCACATTTGAACTTCAGTAGACTGAGAAGAAGACTATGAAGTTCACTCAATATTTAGTAGCAGAACATCCATTCCGTCTTTCAATGTTATGTCTATGCTAAGTGTATTGCTGCATGTTAGCGTTTCTTGTGTAATGCATGAGTCTTATAATAAACCAATTGAATAAAGGACCTATCTGTTCTTAATGAATGCCATGCTGATGATAAGGAATATAAAGTAATTTGTATGGACTTTTCCTTTTAATCAAAATAAGAATTTGTGGATTTTCATGCATATCTCTATTCCCAGTCATGTGAAATCCATAGATTAGGGCCTAATGAATTTAGTTCAATTGACTGATTTCCTTATATGAACTGTAATTCAGTAAAATCTTTGAAGTTGTTGCATGTTGCGTTTATATTTTTGTTCAGTAAATAAGGTGCTTTTTTAAGCTCTCCTAACTGTGCCATTGAGGAACTAGACCAAGCACACTTGTAGTTGTTTTGTTTGGAACACAACCCTGCATACCCGCCCTCACACAAATACTGTTGTTGTTTACACAATCCAAAAGTGGTCCATTATAAATCGCAATCTGGGTCAGGTGAGAATCATTTGAAAGTCTGTTCTATTGCCAACATGACTAGCTAAGTTATAAAATACGATATTACAGTGTTAGGCTTTCAAATGCAATTCAGGGAAACAGATAATAATTTTTGTGCGCTTAGAATGGAGTCATGATTGCATTCAGGTGCGTGTGCCGAGGCACATTTTCTTCACAATAGACAAACATAGGCTCATTCTTTTCAGAACATCCAAGGGTATGACGCCATGTCATTTTGTAACTGTACATCAAACATAGTGATCATAAACGTTGACACTGTATATGACATGAGTTTTATGATATGGAACTGTGAAGTGCACATTTGGACTCATGGGTGTTTGGCATGCTTGTACGACATCAGAGCAGTATTTATTGTCATCCTCAACGTCTCATCTTTCAAAATGCCTCGTCCTCTTAATTTACAGCATTTCTCTCACTCAGACAACAGGTGGTCCTCTGTAGCTCAATTGGTAGAGTACGGCGCTTGTAACGCCAGGGTAGTGGGTTCGATCCCCGGAACCACCCATACGTAAAAATGTATGCACACATGACTGTAAGTCGCTTAGGATAAAAGCATCTGCTAAATGGCATATTATATTATTATTATTAACAAAAAATCTGCAAAAGTTGCCCAGTGAGCGGGAAGGATGGGGCAACCTCTTTTCGTGCAAGGTGCTCAAGTTCAGAACGGCTGTTAGTCAAAACCCATACAGCGCTGTGAAGCGCAGAGCCAGAGCTCTGACGTTATGTATCTTACTGTACATAGACTTACACACCCTGGCTCAACATAACATAGTCCCCAGAGCCAGGGCGTGACAGTACCCCCCCCCCAAAGGCGCGGACTCCGACCGCGCCAAACAACCACAACAGGGGAGGGACCGGGTGGGCACTCCGCCTCGGCGGCGGATCCGGCTCCGGACATGACCCAGGCACGGGTTGTGCTGGACTGACGACGCGCACCCCTGGCTTGGTGCGTGGAGCAGGGACAGGCCGGACTGGGCTGACGAAGCACACCCCTGACTTGGTGCGGGGAGCAGGAATGAGCCGGACCGGGCTGACGAAGCGCACCCCTGACTTGGTGCGGGGAGCAGGAATGAGCCGGACCGGGCTGACGACGCGCACCACTGACTTGGTGCGGGGAGCTTGGATGGGCCGGACTGGGCTGGCGACGCGCACCACCGACTTGGTGCGGAGAGCAGGAACGGGCCGGACAGGGCTGACGAAACGCATCACAGACTTGGTGCGGGGAGCAGGAATGGGCCGGACTGGGCTGGCGACGCGCACCACAGACTTGGTGCGGAGAGCAGGAACGGGCCGGACAGGGCTGGTGACGCGCACCACCGACTTGGTGCGGGGAGCAGGAATGAGCCGGACCGGGCTGACGACGCGCACCACTGACTTGGTGCGGGGAGCTTGGATGGGCCGGACTGGGCTGGCGACGCGCACCACAGACTTGGTGGGAGTGGCAGGAACAGGCCGGCCCGTACTGGGAACACACACCACTGGCCCTACGTGGGGATCAGGAACAGGCCGGACCGGACTGGCAACACACGCCAGTACCTCTCGCCGTGCCTCTACAACCTCCTTCCCCCTGGTGACCAGTGACTCCCGTAACTTGGCGGCCTCCTCTGCCAACCCGCTGGACCGCTCTATCGCGGCCTCCTGCTGCCCCGACGTCGTGAGCCCCCCCCCTAAAAATTTTCTGGGGGTCTCTCCTCCCCGTGGGCCAGGCCTCCATCGTTCTCGCCAGACTCTCACCCCACTGCTCCAAAGTCCAACCTCTCTCCTCTTCTCTTGGCTTGGCCCAGTCGAGACTCCTACTCCACTGCTCCCAAGTCCATCCTCTCTCTTCTTCACGCTGCTTGGTCCTGTTATGGTGGTTTCTTCTGTCAAGGTAGATGTAGGTGGGTGTGGTGGTGGAAACAGGCGCAGGACGCAGAACGTTAGTCCAAAAGACTTTAGTAGAGCACAACAAAACAATCACGAATAAATGCCCTGAGGCAAAACTCCGCACGTAGGCGAAAACAACGGGCGCACAAACAGGTGCGCCAAAACACTCCAAACAATATGGAGAAAATGCTCAACCGAGCAAACAGTGGAAATACAGCCTACCGGCACGACAGTAAAACATGGCTCCCAATCAGAGACAACCAGCTGACCCTCGTTGCCTCTGATTGGGAGTCACTCAGGCCAACATAGATATACAAACATAGACTTACACACCCTGGCTCAACATAACATAGTCCCCAGAGCCAGGGCGTGACAGCCACTGTGTTCCAATTTAGTCGTTTTTATCAGTGCCAAATCTGCCATTTTCAACCCGTATATGGGTACTAGTGTAAAGGGCTACTGGAATCACTGGAGCATGACCCAGTGTATTCTGATACTGGACGTGTTCCTGAAATGGCTGACGTGTGGCTTTTCTCTCTGACACTGCTGCTTGTTGTGTCTACCTATCTGTGAAGGAGAGCCAGAGGTGCCAAGGAGGGAAGCTTGGCTCGGCTGCCGAAGAGACACTGGATGAATATTTAATCGCCCTTTAGCACAAAAACAGGTGAAGTGTAGGGCAAATGCCTTTAGGAGAGGCAGCTCCAGTTACACTGAGAGGACACAGTAGCTGCCTGTCAGTAGTCTAATACTTACACTTATAGATAAGGTAGACTTTGATTAGTTCCTTGTGCGGAGAGATTGAGTGACACTAATGATGTATGAGTGACACAGACACGCAAACTGTGTGAGAGCAATTTGGTTTCTAGGGATTAGGCTCTGCTTGTTTGACCTGCTTGCATAAATAATATTATGCTCTCTCACATGCATACAAAAAACATGAAAACAGACTTAAAACATGTTTTTTTCATCTCATTTTCAAAGATTCATAAACCACTTATTATGAAAATGTGTGTATTTCCTAGTGATGATAACCCTTTGACCTTTAACCCATAGGATCTTAAAGAGACTGCAAACTAAAGAGCCCAAGGAGATTGAGCTAGAATGTCTGGAGCAGGGCATCTTCATCTATCTGAATGGGGCTAATGCTAACGCTAGCAAGCAGACCAAGAGACCCAACCAGAAGTCTGTCACTTTGCCACCGCCCACTCTGAGAGCTACACACACGGCTGGTACACAGCATGCAGGACTGAGTATAGACAACAAACCATCTTTGCTACAATACTAAATCCTTGTTAGGCTATTGTAGATGATGTCCCTGTTTGTAAATACTTTATGACTAAACTAATCTTCGTAGCATCCTTGTGGCATATTACCAGCTGAACACCACCTCACCTCTCAGTTAGCGTGATATAATCCTATGCACTCGGGCCGTTGAATAAATGATAGTGACAGTTGTAACCGGTGTCCATTTTTCCCCCTCTGTGTGTTCTGGAACCATTTGTGTCTTCTTCTTCTCTGCTCTTCATTTGAGGGCGGACTTGACTGCTCATGTGCAGTGACTTTGCTCTCTCGCCTCTGACTCATCACCAGATGCCTCCAGAAGGGGTTCACAGCTAGCAGAGGAGGAAATCCGCAATCTGGAGGTGAACAGCAGGAAGAGGAGTCTCATTGGCCCGGGAAAAGTGCAGAGGAGAGAATGGGTTCAGGTACCGCCATTCTAGTCTACACCATAAATATAGAATCTAGTCATTCTATTTCTATAGTATCTAGTCATCCTAACCCTGATGTATGGTTGGATAGATCTAGTGAACAAATCACACGATCATAGACATAGATCACAGACATTTCCACACAAATGGAATAGAATGTAGTGTTTGTGTTGTGAATAATATTGTGTTTTCCTATTTTCATCTTTGCAGAACTCGATCAACATTAGAACAGAACAAGGACCCTGTTTGCGGATATCTCCAGAGAGACGGTACTCTGAAGACTTTGAACCCTACGACAGCAGAGAGATGGAGGTACAGTAGGAAGAAAACAGTGTCCATCAGGCTCGTGTGCGTGGGTGTTTACTGTTCTTTGGCACATTTCGATGGTGTGTGCCAGTATCTGCATGTGTCAAATGCAGCTGTCATTCTGGGTTTGCATGATTGCATCTCACTCTGCTCTGTATTCACCCTGTTCCTCTCCAGCGGTCGAGTCCACGCTCTCCTCATAGTCCCCACTCCCCGCAAGATTCCTGTAAGGTGTCACGTTCGTTTGGCTCCAGGGCTGATGGCCGAGGAGGTAGCCAGGCAGAGCCTGAACATCAAAGCGAACGGGTCCTACTCAACATCGACGAGGTCAAGGTGAGAGGTCAACTGTTTTTCTCTCCTTTTCTCTCCCTCCTCCGCTTCCTCTTCTCTCTCTCCCTCTCCTCTTCTCTCTCTCCCTCTCCTCTTCTCTCTCTCCCTCTCCTCTTCTCTCTCTCCCTCTCCTCTTCTCTCTCTCCCTCTCCTCTTCTCTCTCTCCCTCTCCTCTTCTCTCTCTCCCTCTCCTCTTCTCTCTTTCCTTGTCCTCTTCTCTCCTCTTCTCTCTCCCTAAGATGGCATGTCCAAGACACTGATCCAGGCTACCAAAGTGCAAGAAATACAGCAATCTTCACCATTTACATATCACCAGATTACATGTCACCGTAAATCATAGATTTCTATCCGGAGTGTGCTGACCTAGTGTTGATTTCCGACTTTTTTCATTTCCTTTTACGCCAAGCAGACACTCCCCTTCAGAGCAATATAAATCAAGGCACATCAAATATATAACTGCCCTGTTTCTTCAACTTAGGTTATAGCTCAGTGTTAACCTTGTTTGTGGTTAGTGTTACATACAATGCAGTGACGTGAGGGTGAGAGCTGAGTAGTGTTCATTTGGTCACCAAACGGGATGAAAAGATTGTGAAACAGAGGAGAAAATGCCTGTACTGATAAAACGTTTTTGTTACCATTTCAACTCAATTGAACATACCCCTGGTGTTTTATGGCGCTCAGGTGCTTCGACGGAGCCTGGAGGCGAGCTTGCGGAGGAGCAGCGGTAGCCGCGGATCGGCGGGGGAGGAGTCGGACGAGGAGTGGGTAGAGGAGCAGATCGAGAGGGAGGAGAGCACGGAGAGCCTGGAAGAGCTGGGTCTGCCTCCTTCCTCCTCCAACAAAACATCTACTCACACAAACCATCCGCGAGCCACTGGGCCCAAAGGCTGCCTTCACGACCCTGCAGATCTCATAGTGCTGGACTTTGGGCCTTCTCCTAAAGGTACTCCAACAATACGGATTACGATATCCTCTAATAATGTTATTCAGCCAGGGGTGCATCTTAACAATCAACTATAGTGGCTACCTTTCCTTGTCCCACCCTTAATTTGCACTGATCTGAAATGAAAGGATAGTGGATGCCTACTGAGGATTTACCCATCCAGATATTTTATATTATTGCAGTTGAAGGGAAGACAAGTAGAGGACGGCACTTTAGAGATAGTCCCTATTCTTTGACCTTTATTGACCTTTTTTCCATTATGTTGCAGGCCGTAAGATCGAGCGTTCGCTGTCGGCCAAGAGGAATGACAACCTGGAGGCCTACATCCCCACCAAGCCTCTGCTGGTGAAGAGCAAAACTCTGGACAGGCCCTCTTCAAAGGAGTGCAGGGATGGCAGAGATACTCAACGTATGTTCTGTTCTGCCCTGTATTCATGTCTTTCATAAACCTAAGAGGCCTTATTAGAAAATAGCTGTCACATAGTAAACAACAGTCAAGTGTACAATGGTCCCTGAACTGTTTTTTTTTTTCTCTCTCTCTCTCTCTCTCTCTCTCTCTCTCTCTCTCTCTCTCTCTCTCTCTCTCTCCCCCCCCCCCCTCTCTCTCTCTCGCCCTCTCCCCCTCTCTCTCTCTCTGCCCCCACCCTCTCTCTCAGGGCCGAGGAGTCGTGTAGAGCGCCCCCTGTCTGCAGCAAGGAAGGCCTCCCAAGAGGAGCGCGACTCGGAGGAGACAGCGTGCAGGGTGCTCCAGGCCCTGCAGAGAGAGAACAGCCCATTGCAGAGCCCCAAGCCCAGGGCCTTCAGCCGCACCCCGGTAAGATAGATAACAACCACAGAAGTAGAATGAATGAATTTAATTATATTTCTATGGGCACAACCAGAGTGTGCTGTGCTGGGTCCACTAGTGGGTTGTGTTATCTTCTTGTAACCTGTCTGCTGTAGTAATTCCTGTTTTACATCCTAGCCTAGCCTATCTGTATCTGTTATTTTCTAATCTTTTCTACTTTTAGTTTAATCTAGTTAGGCTACTATCCTCTCTAAGTCTAACTCCATTGTGCTCCTCCATTGTAAATCCACAGGTGAGAGGATACCAGATGATGAACGGCTCGCTGCGTGACGACGATGGCGACATAGATGAAAGTGGGGTGACCAGAGCCATGCAGAGAGTCACCCTCATGGGTCCCAGGTAGTACTGCAACGTTACACACTAGTGTCACTACACACTATGCATATGGGGAGGAATAAGGACAGAAATCTATACTAATCTCTTGACTATCCTTGACTATCACAAAGAAAAAAAACGATGTTCCAATAGGATCCACAATAGCATACTACAGAGAATGAAATCATCTATAAGGTATGCTAGTTTGCATATTGGCGCATGGTCAGACATAGACTTGACTGGTGACAGTTTAGAAGGACACTGGCATAACTAACTCCCTCGTGCTTGTGTACTATGCTGGGATAAGAACGCCATGTACAGACTGTGCAGTACAGTACAAAACTCGTGGTAACTTCATGGGTGGGCGGCGCCAGAGCACCAGTAATTGTATACCTCTAATCGAGGCTCTCTAACAATCAGAAACGTGTAAGTGATAACCTAACCCCTCTGACCTTGAAGCAGGTCTAGTCAACAAAGCTGTAGGGAGTCTTCAATAACTGTCAGTGACCATGTATACATTTCCATAGATAATCACCTAGAGCAAGGTCAAAGACGATTGATGTGGTGAAGGACAATAGAATTGATGAGTCATTGTTTTCTCTCAGGCAACAGCAGAAACTACTAAAGGCGTTGGAGAAACTGGAGGTAGGCACGAACTTTGACATCCCTCAGACAGCGAAGACGGATAATAGCAAACCACCGGTGAGTAACTAGGTGAGACAGACAGTGAAGGCTAAATAGAGAGAGAGAGAGAGAGAGACACACACAAAAACACCACACACACACACAAAGAGATATATAAAAGTGTTCTAATTCAATTTTCTATGATGCTAAGAATACACTGGATGAAGTGACGCTTGGATTGACTCGTGAAGTTCTGTTGTTGTCATGGTGGCAGTATAGGCGGGTCTCGGTGGAGGCACCACCCACCGTGTACATCACCATGGAGATCCTGAGTAACTGGGGGAACAGGGGCCAGGTGGGGCTGACGGAGATGCAGTTCTTCGGCCCAGGGAACAGGAAGCTGTATGTGTCGCCGCATGACCTGGACATCCGGAATGCCGACTCCCCTGGGAACCTCGGAGCGCTAGTCAACGGGAAAGCTAAGGTGAGTTGAGTTCTCCCCGGAAGCTTTTCTGATAACACTAATTGAACTATTTAGAAAGGTTTTGGTGCATTGTATTTACTATTTATACATTTTTGGAAGGATGTTTGGTGACACTTCCTCTTTGCTTTGTAAGGAATTATTATACATTTTATGAACATTTATTAGCCTATGTCGTGCATGATAAAGGATTATACATAGCACATAAGGTGATATACAGTTCCGTGAAAAAGTATTTGCCCCCTTTCTGACAAATTATACTTATTTTATTTACACTACATTGCCAAAAGTATGTGGACACCTGCTCGTCGAACATCTCATTCCAAAATCATGGGCATTAATATGGAGTTGGTCCCCTCTTTGCTGCTATAACATCCTCCACTCTTCTGGGAAGGCTTTCCACTAGATGTTGGAACATTGCTGCGGGGACTTGCTGCTTCCATTCAGCCACAAGAGCATTAGTGAGGTCGGGCACTGATGTTGGGTGATTAGGCCTGGCTCGCAGTCGGCGTTCCAATTCATCCCAAAGGTGTTCAATGGGGTTGAGGTGGGGGCTCTTTGCGGCCAGTCAAGTTCTTCCACACCGATCTCGACAAACCATTTCTGTATGAACCTCGCTTTGTGCACGGGGCATTGTCATGCTGAAACAGGAAAGGGCCTTCCCCAAACTGTTGCCACAAAGTTGGAAGCACAGAATCGTCTAGAATGTCATTGTATGCTGTAGCGTTAAGATTTCCCTTCACTGGAACTAAGGGGCCTAGCCCGAACCATGAAAAACAGCCCCAGACCATTATTTCTCCTCCACCAAACTTTACAGTTGGCAATATGCATTGGGGCAGGTAGCGTTCTCCTGGCATCCGCCAAACCCAGATTCATCCGTCGGACTGCCAGATGGTGAAGCGAGATTCATCACTCCAGAGAACGCGAGTTCAATGGCGGCAAGCTTTACACCACTCCAGCCGACGCTTGGCATTGCGCATGGTGATCTTAGGCTTGTGGGCGGCTGCTCGGCCATGGAAACCCATTTCATGAAGCTCCCGATGAACAGTTATTGTGCTGACGTTGATTCCAGAGGCAGTTTGGAACTCTGTAGTGAGTGTTGCAACCAAGGACAGACAATCTTTACACGCTACACGCTTCAGTACTCGGCGGTCCCTTTCTGTGAGCTTGTGTGGCCTACCACTTCGCGTCTGAGACGTTTTTGCTCCTAGACGTTTCCACTTCACAATAACAGCACTTACAGTTTACCGGGGAGCGCTATCAGGGCAGAAATTTGACGAACTGACTTGTTGGAAAGGTGGCATCCTATGACGGTGCCACGTTGAAAGTCATTGAGCTCATCAGTAAGGCCATTTGCCTATGTTTGTCTATGGAGATTGCATGGCTGTGTGCTCGATTTTATACACCTGTCAGCATCGGGTGTGGCTGAAATAGCCGAATCCACTAGTTTGAAGGGGTTTCCACATACTTTTGTATATATAGTGTATTTAATTAACAAAGTTATGCAACACCTAATTCCCTGGTGTGAAAAAGTAATTGCCCCCTTACACTCAATAACTGGTTGTGCCACCTTTAGCTGCAATGGCTGCAACCAAATGCTTCCCGTAGTTGTTGATCAGTCTCTCACATCGCTGTGGAGGAATTTTGGCCCACTCTTGCATGCAGAACTGCTTTAACTCAGCAACATTTGTGGGTTTTCAAGCATGAACTGCTCGTTTCAAGTCCTGACACAACATCTCAATTGGGATTAGGTCTGGACTTTGACTAAGCCATTCCAAAATGTCAAATATATTGCTTTTTAGCAATTTTCATGTAGACTTGATTGTGTATTTTGGATCATTGTCCTGCTGCATGACCCAGCTGCGCTTCAGCTTCAGCTCACAGATGGACGGCCTGACATTCTCCTTTAGAATTCTCTGATACAGAGCAGAATTCATGGTTCCTTCTATTAAGGCAAGTCGTCCAGGTCCTGAGGCTGCAAAGCATCCCCAAACCATCACACTACCACCACCATACTTGACCGTTGGTATGAGGCTCTTACTGTGGAATGCAGTGTTTGGTTTTCGCCAGACAAAATGGGACCCATCTTGTCCAAAGAGTTGACTGAAGTTTGCCAAAAAGCACCTGGAAGCACCTGGATGATCATCAAGACTCTTGGAAGAATGTTCTATCGACAAACAGAGTCAAAACGATAACTTTTTGGACGACATGGGTCCCATAGTCCAAAACGTGTAGGCTTCCGCACAGCAGTGTTCTAGAATATTGGACCGTTTGCTTTCCGAATTCTCAGCGCGGCTCGAGCAATTTCTCCAACCGTCACCTCATTCAAATGAATAGAAGACGTGTATGCAGAGTCGTGTTGGTTGGGAATTTGGGGGAGGTGCACGGTCGGGCTGTGCGTCCCCCGCAGACGGTGGTCTCAGAACCGCGTAGTTATGTCACAATGGACTACCAGACTATCGCGTCTCTGCGGCTTTGGACTCTGAATTAAGATTTAGCAATATGGTACTCAGTGTTACCAAATTACAGTATATTGGGTCTCTGGTCATTTTAAAGGCCCAATGCAGCCCTTTTTATCTCAATATCAAATAATTTATGGGTAACAATTAAGTACCTTACTGTGATTGTTTTCAATTAAAATGGTCAAAAAGAAACAGTAATAGCTCCTTAGCAAGAGCAATTTCTCAAGCAAGAATTTTGCTAGCACTATCTTAGAGTTGTCTGAGTGGGGAGGGGAAAACTAGCTGTTATTGGCAGAGCGGTTTGGAACTTTCTTTCTTATTGGTCTATTAACTAATTTACCGCCTGGTGATGTCTAGGGCTGTGGCGGTGACAAAATGTATTCAGCCGGTGATTGTCAAGCAAATAACTGTCGGTCTCACGGTAATTGACTGTTAATAAACATAAACACATTTAGCATCTCCTGGCTTCCACACATTGCCTACAAGCCATTTAAGTCTGAGAAATCCATGTAATATAGCCTACACCACAATAAATCCATGATTTATTTTAGACAGGTCTAAAGAAGCATGATATGAAGAAAATGTAGTCTATTTCAGTAGAACAGAATAGCATACTCTGAGTTGTCCTTATGTTAGGTCCTGATGTGGCTATGCCAAATGGCTGTGGGCTACACTAGTTCATTTAGCAGACAAGATTTGCTTATAATTCCGTGGCATTATTTTATATTATTTTATAGTATGATCAATACAATTCAACAAAGCTGAATAAAATATAAATATTTTCTCCAAATGATTTGAGGGAGTGCGCACATGCGGCTGTTCTGTGTTGAGTGGTTAACAAAGAAATAGGTACTCCTATATGCAGTGGTGTAAAGTGCTTAAGTAAAAATACTTTAAAGTACTACTTAAGTAGTTTTTTGGGGTATCTGTACTTTACTTTACTATTTATATTTTTGACAAATTTTACTTTTACTTCACTACATTCCTAAAGAAAATATTGTACTTTTTACTCCATACATTTTCCCTGACAACCGAAAGTAGTCGTTACATTTTGAATGCTTAGCAGGATAGGAAAATTGTGAAATTCACGCACTTATCAAGAGAACACGTGGTCATCCATACTGCCTCTGGTCTGGCGAACTCCCTAAACACAAATGCATCTTTTGTAAATAATGTCTGAGTATTGGTGTGCCCCTGGCTATCCGTCAATTTTAAAAACAAGAAAATGGAGCCATCTGCTTTGCTTAACATAAGGAATTTGAAATGATTTATACTTTGACTTCTACTTTTGATACTTTAGTATATTTGAGCAATTACATTTACTTTTGAGACTTAAGTATATTTAAAACCAAATACTTTTAGACTTTTACTCAAGTACTATTTTACTGGGTGACTTAACTTTCTATTAAGGTATCAATACTTTTACTGAAGTTTGACAGTAGGGTACTTTTTCCACCACTGCCTATATGCTTAATTTAGAGTTATTGATGTAACTTTAGTTGTTCTACAAACGTTGGGCTATATGTTTTGATTTTTAATACATTGTAAGGCTGCATGATGAGACTCTAATGATGATTTTTAAAAAGTCACTTGAAAGGCATGAGCTCTGCTTTGTTTTTTTGTGCAGGCTGTACACACTCCAATAGTCTCTCATTCACAATTTGTCAAGCACTTGATAATGCCTCGAATTTCATGGCGGCATCCCTTTGTGGCCGTAATGCACCCTAAAAAAAATCCATGCCTTTTGCAGCCCGGAGTGCTGCGTTGTGCCCTTCTCGGTGAGTGTGCTGCGCAATCCGAAACGTCTCTCACTCACACGGCTCTCTTTCACGTGATCGGGTCTTTCTCACAGTCTACAAGTTAAGACAGTCACATCGGGGACGCAACTGCGCGGGTCCTTATCCAATTCTGAGGTGCATATTGAAGATGTTGGAAGAACTGTCCACATTTACTTTTAGTCAGCCATCCAGATGAGTAGGCCTAACGAACAGCAAAATAACTAGCCTATGTCAATCTACTATCCCCCATAGTACAGAAGTTGACCTATTGTATTCTGTGCGAGAAATAAATATTCCAAACATAGTCTGGGACAGTTGTGGGATGCGATAGATCCCAAATTAATACAACCACATTGCAACAGATCAGCACGTTTAGCTTAAAATGTTGAAACTATTAGGCTATTTCTTCACATTATAAGCGCAGCAATGCGCACATGGTAGTAGGCTATAACGTGCGAATGTTCCATTAGCAGAAAACACCATTATCAAAAGTGACCGCAAATGCAATTATGCATGTAATGCTTTTATTATAAAGGTGCATTTTTATGGAGAAAATTATCTTCCCCAAACTTGAAACTCATGTACTGCTTATAAATGCCAGTTAGGCTCTACACCCCTTGTAAAGCGGATTAATGTGCTTCATTTTAAGTAGTTATTTGGCCACTTTAGTTGTGATACAGACCTTATTAAAACATATAGGCCTATAGGCGAGGCTACATGAGGTGTGCGACTATGATTCGAAGTCGCAAAAAAAAGGCATTGTTTCTTATGCTGGGCATCATTCAATACGGTCACCGCAACAGCCCTAGTGATGTCACCAGCCAGGCCAAAACTCAAATCCCACCAAAACAGGCTGAAATTTCAGACTGTCTTTTCAAACAGCTCTTACACTAAAAGGGAATTATCATCATTTTCACAATTTCACAATATTATTCCAACCTGGTAGTGTGGAAATATATATAAAATACAGGAAAATGTTGACTGCACTGGGCCTTTAAGTGAATGTATTCATCAATTTTTTTACTTAAACTGACTGCTTATCTCTATATGTTGTTGTGCGTTGGTTTGACCACCAGACCACAAAGGAGCGTCATATGTGGACCTGTCCTTTCCATCTTCCGGTCCAACTCTACTTCATCATCAGGAACACGGAGCGCTCTCCGGACTTTGGGATATCCGAGATCAAGATCTGGAACTACAACAGGAGCCTCAATGTAAGAGACCATTGTAGGGCCAAACTGACAGGTTGTGTCTGAAATGGCACCCTATTCCTTATTTTGTAGTGCACTACTTTTGGCTGGAGCCTTTGCAATACAGGTTGCCAGTTCTAGTAAAAAGGGTTGCATTAGGTGATAATTCAAATGGAATTTGATAGAAATGGTACTTAAGTACATTAAGTTGTTAGCACTTACTGTATGTACAGCCCTTACATATATACAGCCTCTGATTGGTTCATCACACCAGTCCTAGTTCAGGGTTAATTAAGATACACGCCATCATTTGTCAACAGTTGCTCATCAATCCAGCTTGCTTCAGCCATTCCAGTCAATCTACAGGGTGACCACCATATTGGCAGAAGGCTTTGGGAGGGAGGGTATAACCTTCCAGCAGTGGCTGTGTGAGCTACCAGTCAGTCCAAATGTGGAACAGTAAGAGATTAGCCCTGGGGGATTAGTGAGGGGACGCCCAGGTTAGTTCTCCCGCCTCCCGCCCTGCTGCTGTGACTAAAGGGAAGGATGGGAATCACAAAGCCCAGGCAACCAGGGGGCTGTCTGGAACTATGGATGATATGGGCTGATATTAAGTGTCTCTGTTCATTGAGTCCTATGTTAGGTGCTAGTGGTGTGTTTTAGGCTGCGTGGTAAGGAGCTGTGTGATACTGTGGGATCCAGGGGGTGGAGATACACTGATTTAATGAGCAGGGATCGAGGAGATTTGAGTCTGCTCTTAGCCATTTTGCCATCCACCATGTCTGTCTGTGTGTGTTGGTAAGGAGGCTACCAAGTAGCTGTTGACTACGTCTGCACGGTTAGCTTAATTGACTCTGTCTCTATACCTGTGGGAAATAACATTGGGGCCTACAACTAGGAAGCTCCTTGGTTAACAGTATGGTGTTATTTTCAGTTTCAGTGTTCTTTGACATTTTCCTTTTTCACCTCTGCATTTTTCATTGAGATGTGTTTGACTTGGAGTTGTTTTGATGTTGCTTTTCTTATACGGTCTACTGATATACATGCATTACCTAAATATTGCCCTGCTTAGAGCCTGAAATAGCCGTGCTGTTCTTTTTTAGGACCTGGACGTTGGTGCCCGGCATGTGAATCTTTACCTCAACAGCACGCTGGTGTTCGAAGGCGAGCTGGACAAGGGATGTGGCAACCAGATCTTCGATTACAGCACCAGCATCGACCTCCAGGCACTCCAAGTCCCAGAATCCTTCTCTCCCAGCCCCGTGGCGTCCGGACACAGTCTGCGGGGTGCCAGCCCACAGTGCCATGACGAGAGGAGCGTGGGGGGGAACAGCGAAGGGCAGCATCGAGACCCCAACCCCAACCATGGACTCTCTGAGGGGCTAGCCCAGTTCAGGATAGACATGCAGGATAAAACCTACAACCCTCTCCCACCCACATCTACAAACCGCCCCCCCCTACAGAGGGACTCCTTTAACATGGACCCTCCGGACCTGGACCTCCACCACCCCCCTCTGAAAGAGCAGCTGGAGCAGTCGGGTCAACCCACAGAGTGCACAGTCACCACCCAGCCTTCCTCCTCCAGGACTCCCCAGTGGCTACAGCCCCTGGCCCGAAGCGCCCCCGAGGGCTGCGATGCCGGAAGGGAGAGGCCCCTCTGGCTAGTGCCCCAGCAGTCTGTGGAGCCCAAACCTCCCCTCCCCCAATCCACCTCCACCTCGGTGCTCCCGGAGCTGGGCTGTAACCCGGGAAGGGTGTGTCGGGGGGTGGAGAGGACTGTGAACGAGGGCCAGTGGAGTGCAGACTCTCTGGACCTGGGAGGTGACCTGCTGGAGGAGCTGAGTGACCAGCAGCGCCAGGACCGGCCTGTTAGTGGACGTAGGAGCTCAGCCAACAACAACAACACTAGTAGCAGAAAACCAGCAGAGGAGGACCAGCATGGAGCAATTGGACTGACCACAGGTAGGAGAGTATACCCTGTGTGTGTGTGTGTACGCATGGTCCAAGGACCTATGTGAATAATTTCATTTGTACAATACTTTTGCGGCTCCTTTATCTACTCTGCATACTGGGCTGTGCAGGCAAGTTAATGTCATTTGCTGTAACCGTCTTAAGGTCAGAGACAGAATCATCTCTAGTGGTAGCCTGTTTGTCTACTTGCCTTAGTTTTGCAACTCTATAATGTTTTTCCCCCCAGGATCTGCCATTGGTTTCCCAATGTTGAGGAGATTGAGAATCTCGTTGTTCTTGTCAACGGCAGACCAGACATATCTTTTATTTTTTCCTAAATAAGATTATAGAGCAGACAGATTGCTGCATCACACCAAATCTAGGCCTGCATCCTATAATAATCCCTCTTTATCTCCATGACAACAGACTGACTCCCCACCAGACCCTCTAGTAACACAACACACACACACACACAGGGCACATACGAGCTGGTTCTGACCATATCTGTTGTGGACGTGTCAGCCGGAAGTTGGCCATAGACTCTTTGACCATTATCACACCAGCTGTCGGAGCTGGGCTATTCAGTGTGAAAATTACATAATCATTACCATGAATTGTATATTCTACATAACAGGAATATGTAAAGTTATTTTAGGATTATAGTAGTAGAAATCTTACTCTCAAAATGAAAACTACAATGTATAAAACGGTCGAAAAATAATTGCTCTTAGCTACTCTTGCATGGTCTTAGAGGTAACATGAGAGTGTGTTGATTCCACAGAGGAGCCAAGTTCGGTGTCAGACAGCAGCAACAAGAGGCAGCGTCATACCCGCCAGGCCACGCTCCACAGCCAGCAGGACCAGGATGACACCCTCATGGAGTCCTGGGACTCCCTCACAAAGTTCAACCAGTGCCAGCGTGGTCGCATCTCCAACATGGGCTTCGAGGGCGACATCTTTGACGAGTTCCTCCAGCGTTCCTCCAGAGCCGCCACTATCACCACAATCCCCTCCTCCGACCCAGGAGGCCCTCCCTGCAGCCCCTTCCCCTCCTCCTCCCACCTCTCTTCCCCCGCCCCTCAAGGGGGCCTCTGCGATGACCCGGAGGATGACCTTTCCACCGAGCCGGAGCGCGAGGAGGAGTTTGAGATTCCGGTCCTCCCACGTGGTCAACATCTGGTCATTAACATCCTGTCCACGTGGGGCGACCGCCACTACGTGGGACTCAACGGTCTCGAAGTCTTCAGCTCCAGCGGTCAGCCCCTCCGGCCCGCCCGCATCCGTGCCGACCCTCCCGATATTAACGTGCTGCCCGCCTACGACAAAGACCCGCGCATTGTCGCCAACCTGATCGACGGAATCAACCGCACGCAGGACGACATGCACCTGTGGCTGGCGCCGTTCACCCAGGGGATGAGTCACGTGATCTACCTGGAGTTCGCTGGGCCATGTCAGGTGGCCATGATAAGAGTGTGGAACTACAACAAGTCCAGGATCCACTCGTTCAGGGGGGTGAAGGAGGCTGAGATGCTGCTGGATGGGAGGTGTATCTTCAGGGGAGAGATCGCCAAGGCGTCAGGGACTCTGTCTGGAGGTAGGGGAGCATGAGTAAGGGACAGGCTCTCTCCTTAGACACCCAAATGTAATAATAATAATAATAATGTATCCCATGCTATAGTGCTACCACAGGTGGCCTATACTCTGTCCCTATTTTAGGAGCTTCATGATATAATAGTTGCCTTGGTTTGCACAATGGACAAGTATGATTTACATTGAAGGTATTACAGATCATAGAACTACAGCATTTGTTTGGTGACAAAATACACTGAGTGTACAAAACATTAAGAACACCTTCCTAATATTGAGTTGCACACCCCGCTTTTGCCCTCAGAACAGCCTTAATTCGTCGGGGTATGGACTCTACAAGGTGTCGAAAGCGTTCCACAGGGATGCTGGCCCATGTTGACTCCAATGCTTCCCTCAGTTGTGTCAAGTTGGCTGGATGTCCTTTGGGTGGTGGACCATTCTTGATACACACGGGAAACTGTTGAGCGTGACAAAGGCACTTCAATCTTTTGTCTTGCCCATTCACCCTCTGAATGGCACACGTACACAATCCATGTCTCAATTGTCTCAAGGCTTAGAATACCTTCTTTCACCTGTCTCCTCCCCTTCATCTACACTGATTGAAGTGGATTTAACAAGTGACATCAATAAGGGATCATAGCTTTCAGCTGGATTCACCTGGTCAGTCTATGTAATGGAAAGAGCATGTGTTCTTAATGTTTTGTACACTCAGTGTAGGTTTAATGTCATTTGTTGGCCATGCATTAAAACATGTTTGCCTTTAACATCTTGAATTATACCTCCACCCCTCTCCTCTTAGGTCTGGACCAATTCGGGGACACCATCTTGTTCACCACGGACGATGAGATCCTGGAGGCTATGTCGCGCTACGACGAGACGTTCTGCGGGGAGGCGGAGTGCTCCGAGGGGCTGATGGGGTATGAGGAGGAGCTGCAGAGGCCCAGCACGGCCGACGGAGAGGGGGAGGACAGACCCTTCACACAGGCTGGCTTCAGACCCGAGGACGACCTCGCTGTGAGTACCACATGGCTGACTGGGACTATACAGTGAATACATGGAAAGCCTGGATTGATATAAGACGTGCAGGTTTTGTTCCAGCCCAGCACTAACATTTCTGGTTTCTTTTCACTGCCATTTTCAGTTAAAACTCCATCTGAACGCCATTGATGGTCAGTCTGAGGAAACCCTGGAGCAGATCCCAGGAATGTACAATGGAAAGTGTGAGTACTCCCTTCTAAGTTAGTGTTATTCATTATCAATTCATTAATTCCTAATTTTACACACAGGACTAGCTTTTTCTGTCTGTAAAATGTAACTAGCTCAGCTTGTTTCACACTGACTCTCCAAGCTCTCTCTCTCCTCCTCCCCCCCTCTCTCTTCAGGCCTTAGGATAGAGTTGAGTATGACGTGGGGGGACTCCCACTACCTGGGCCTGACAGGGTTAGAGGTGTTGGGGAAGGAGGGGGACAGCCTGCCTCTGGACCTTACCATGGTGGATGCCTCGCCACGGGACCTCAATGACCTGCCTGAGTACGGCCAGGACACACGCACCCTCGACAAGTCAGTACTGTGTGTGTGTGTGTGTCTGTGTGTGTGCGTGCGTGTCTCTGACCTCACAACGCTGACAATGTAGATGGATTTAACTGCATACCCTCTGATCACAGGATGTACAGGTAAGGGATACAAACTATATTGAAAGCAGGTGCTTCCACACGTGTGGTTCCTGAGTTAATTAAGCAATTAACATCCCATCATGCTTAGGGTCATGTATAAAAATGCTGGTCAGGCCATTATTTTGGCCATTATTTTAGCTACCATGGCTATACCCGCATAGGATGACAATGCCCCCATCCACAGGGCACTAGTGGTCACTGAATGAAAATGATGCAAACCATATTCCATGGCCGTCTCAGTCACCAGATCTCAACCCAATTGAACACTTATGGGAGATTTTGGAGCAGCGCCTGAGACAGCGTTTTCCACCACCATCAACAAAACACCAAATTATGGAATTTCTCTTGGAAGAATTGTCACATCCCTCCAATAGTTTAGTTTAGTTTAGTTTATTAGGATCCCCATTAGCTACTGCACGTGCAGCAGTTACTCTTCCTGGAGTCCAATATAGAGTCCACAATTTAGTTCCTATAGTGTCAATGTTTATTATGTCTTTCATTCAATATACAGTGCATTCGGAAAGTATTCAGACCCCTTGACTTTCTTCCACATTTTGTTACATTACAGCGTTATTCTAAAATGGATTAAATAACCAAAAATCCACAGTTGACAGTGCATGTCAGAGCAAAAACCAAGCCATGAGGTCGAAGGAATTGTCCGTAGAGCTCAGACAGGATTGTGTCAAGGCACAGATCTGGCGATGGGTACCAAAAAGGACAACCATCTCTGCAGCACTTCACCAATCAGGCTTTTATGGTAGAGTGGCCAAACGGAAGCCACTCCTCAGTAAAAGGCACATGACAGCCCACTTGGAGTTTGCCAAAAGGCACCTAAAGGACTCTCAAACTATGGGAAACAAGATTCTCTGGTCTGATGAAACCAAGATTGAACTCTTTGGCCTGAATGCCAAGCGTCACGTCTGGAGAAAATCTGGCACCATCCCTACGGTGAAGCATGGTGGTGGCATCATGCTGTGGTGATGTTTTTCAGCGGCAGGGACTGGGAGACTAGTCAGGATCGAGGGAAAGATGAACGGAGCAATGTACAGAGAGATCCTTGATGAAAACCTGCTCCAGAGCGCTCAGGCCCTCAGACTGGGGCGACGGTTCACCCTCCAACAGGACAACAACCCTAAGCACACAGCCAAGACAACGCAGGAGTGGCTTCGGGACAAGTCTCTCAATGTCCTTGAGTGGCCCAGCCAGAGCCCAGACTTGAACCCGATCGAACATCTCTGGAGAGACCTGAAAATAGCTGTGCAGCGACGCTCCCCATCCAACCTGAAAGAGCTTGAGAGGATCTGCAGAGAAGAATGGGAGAAACTCCCTAACTACAGGTGTGCCAAGCTTGTAGCATCATACCCAAGAAGATTCAAGGCTGTAATCACTGCCAAAGGTGCTTCAACAAAGTACTGAGTAAAGGGTCTGAATACTTATGTAAATGTGATATTTCCGTTTTTCTTTTTAATTATACATTTGCAATAAAATCTAAAAACCTGTTTTTGCTTTATCATTATGGGGTTTATTACAGTTACATTACATTTACGTCATTTAGCAGACGCTCTTATCCAGAGCGACTTACAAATTGGTTGCATTCACCTTATGATAGCCAGTGGGACAATCACTTTACATTTTTTATTTTTTTATTATTTTAAATATTTTGTGGGGGGGGGGGGGGGGGGGGTAGAAGGATTATATACTATCCCAGGTATTCCTTAAAGAGGCAGGGTTTCAAGTGTCTCCGGAAGGTGGTCAGTGACTCCGCTGTCCTGGCGTCGTGAGGGAGCTTGTTCCACCATTGGGGTGCCAGAGCAGCGAACAGTTTTGACTGGGCTGAGCGGGGTAGGGGGACCAGCAGGCCAGAGGTGGAAGAACACAATGTCCTCGTTTGGGTGTAGGGACTGATCAGAGCCTGAAGGTAAGGAGGTGCCGTTCCCCTCACAGCTCCATAGGCAAGCACCATTGTCTTGTAGCAGATGCGAGCTTCAACTGGAAGCCAGTGGAGTGTGCGGAGGAGCGGGGTGACGTGAGAGAACTTGGGAAGGTTGAACACCAGACGGGCTGCAGCATTCTGTATGAGTTGTAGGGGTTTAATGGCACAGGCAGGGAGCCCAGCCAACAGCGAGTTGCAGTAATCCAGACGGGAGATGACAAGTGCCTGGATTAGGACCTATGCCACTTCCGGTGTAAGGTAGGGTCGTACTCTGCGAATGTTGTAGATCATGAACCTACAGGATCGGGTAACCGCTTTGATGTTAGCAGAGAACGATAGGGTGTTGTCCAGGGTCACGCCAAGGTTCTTTGCACTCTGGGAGGAGGACACAATGGAGTTGTCAACCGTGATGGCGAGATCATGGAGCGGGCAGTCCTTCCCTGGGAGGAAGAGCAGCTCTGTCTTGCCGAGGTTCAGCTTGAGGTGGTGATCCGACATCCACACTGACATGTCTGCCAGACATGCAGAGATGCGATTCGCCACCTGGTTATCAGAAGGGGGAAAGGAGAAGATTAATTGTGTGTCATCTGCGTAGCAATGATAGGAGAGACCATGTGAGGATATGACAGAGCCAAGTGACTTGGTGTATAGAGAGAATAGGAGAGGGCCTAGAACTGAGCCCTGGGGGACACCAGTGGTGAGAGAACGTGGTGCTGAGACAGATTCTCGCCACGCCACCTGGTAGGAGCGACCTGTCAGGTAGGACGCAATCCAAGAGTGAGCCGCGCCGGAGATGCCCAACTCGGAGAGGGTGGAGAGGAGGATCTGATGGTTCACAGTATCAAAGGCAGCAGATAGGTCTAGAAGGATGAGGAGGAGAGAGAGTTAGCTTTAGCAGTGATTTGAAGTCAATATATAAAAAATCCAAAGATGTTTCAATAGTTGATTTATTGATTGAAAGATAAAGAAGCTCTGTTTAGCTGTAGGCTTTGGTTTCAAGGGTGTTATGGCTGTGTACATCTGCTGCTGTCCAAGGTTTTGAAATCGAACATTCTGAAATCTACGTCGCAATAAAGGAGTATGTCATACTTCATAACATTATCAAGCGATTTAAGAAGGGATGTCAACGTAACTTGTAGCGACGTAAGAAGCGAAATTCGGTTTTCCATCAAAATAATAATTATTGTGCGCTAACGTGACGTAAAAAATGAATTTGCATATGTCGCAAGATAAAATATAATTTGCCGTTTTTCAACTCGCCAGATCATTTTCCATCAGTGGATGTCGATTTAACTTGTTTGACTCCTATCTATTGTAAATAAATCCCTTTTGCGCATGTGCATAACTATATATAAATCCGACAGCAGAGTTTGAGTGATGAAAGTTGTACAGAGGATCTCGAAATCTCTGTGCAAGTAAACACTTGGACGAACTTAAAAAAACGAATATTATTTTCTGGCAATTGTGCCTTATTCTGTGCCAGATGTTAAGACTACAAACCGTTATAAATGGATAATGCAAATAGCTAGCTAGGCCTATTTGCGTGATTGACTTGTCATTTCAATAGGCCTGAGCTACTGAATAAAATCAGGGTTTACGACTGTAATTCAACTTTGCCATGGTTTGCTTAGCCAGATGCAGGTAGCGGATAGCCCCTGATAGGCCTACATCTTATTTCAGATAGCCTACAGTAGACTAGGCAAAATGTAATATCAACGATTTAGCAGTTTGCTTAGTTCAAATTGACAGACTAATTTATTGAACATAGCGAGGCGATTTCGAAGTAAGAAAGTGCTTGTGTTACCCAATAGCCTATACAGGCTAATGCTTGAATAGGCTACTGAGGATGGGGTCGTAATTTGAATCACTGAATCTAATAATAATATGGATATTATGGATATTCTTGTCAATAAAAGCCAGTGTTTTTTTTACCAGTAGCCTAATCTGACTGACTGTTACCGTCAATCTAATGCATTCCAACGGCTGATAGGCAATTGCGATAGATCTGACCATGATCACAATTGATAACTTCCAGTTTCATTAACTAAACATGTCCATTAATTATTGCATAATAACACAAGTCTACAACAGCAATGAATTGAAGTTATATGCTATTTATTAAATCCGTTTGCCAGCTCCAGGTAAGGCTACAGAAGTGGCACAAATTGATTTGCAATGACTCCAGTGATATCGTCATTCCAACATATTTATTGTATCAAATGGTATGCTAGTAGCCTACAATGGCATATAAATTAATACTTCATGGCCAACAGATGCAAATGTATAATTCTCCACATTTAATGTTAGTTTCATTGTGGACTTATGCCCAAAACAGAAGCACGTGAGGCAGTTCCATAACTTCCATTTCAAATTTCCACTCGCGCAGCACTCAAGACTCTCCCATCTCCTCATAGTTTTTTAGCAGCATATGCCCACGTGGGTAATTGAAAGATGAACTGAGGTCCACACTCCAGTCCAGTTGGTGGTGGTAATGCACCTTAAAGTTGGATGCCGACCGACATATAAAGTCCACAGAAGAAAACTACTACTACTACATTTACATTTACATTATTTAGCAGACGCTCTTATCATCATAAAGTCAAAATTGGCTACATCATAAAAATTCATGATAAGGGTAATCTTAATTTAAGGTAAGGGTTGGGTTGGGCATAAGGTTAGCAGTTTGGTTAAAGTTAGGTTTAAAATCACATTTTAAGAAGATAAATTGTATAAATAGGGTTTATGACCCAAGGAGCCAAATGTTTCACCTGTGGTTGGAGTCGTAGGAGTCAACTCTTGCTCGACTCCCAAAACATGCTGAAACGGATGTGCACACACACACACACCATCTCATTGTTGCAGTCCTACTAGGAAGACTACATTTGC